GGAAGCGGCGTGGCGACCGCTTAAACCACTACGCCATCCGTGCAGTCTAAATTGTAAGTGAAACACAGAAATATGCTTGTGTAATGTAGAAAATTGCAAGTAATATGTCTGTTTACTACAATTTCCGGCGTTAGACATATTTCAAATAACAGTTGGTAAGTTACATTCACACATAATCGACGGGCCTGTTGGTCTAGTGGTTAGTGACCCTGACTGCTAAACCGGAGGTCGTGGGTACGATTCCCACCCAGAACAAATATTTGTGTGATGAGCACGATCGTTTGTTCTGTGTCTGGGTGTAATTTATCTATGTAATTAAGCTATTATTATAGACGAGGATATACAATCATAATTATAACCTCACACATCTCACACACGGCCATCAGAGGCCAAACTAGGCAGAGACTATTCTGTGATAACCACTGCTGATAAACATACTTATATATTTCTAAATATTCACATATTATGAATAAAACATAATTATGATCGTAATCATCATACAATTATTTATCCTGGGATGAAAAAAAAACACGTCCTCTTGTTTCGCAGTCAGGGTCACTAACTTCTACACTAAGTTTTTTTTTTTTTTTTTTCCTTCTTTTTTTTATTTATTATTGTATTGGGGTTTTTATCCACATGGATACGTCAACCCCATCGTGCCTTATGCTATCTACCTTCAACACATTCTTAAAACTAATAAGAGAAAGAGAAATACTAATCAATGAAGTAAACTAATTGACTTAGTCTTTTTGCCACTTCTGATTTTGGTTGTGCCAAAATTGTTTGTACCAACCCCACGTCTAAAATATTTAATTTAAATTCATTGATTAGCTTCTCCCTTTCATTTGTATTCCTGACACAATCCATGAGCAAATGTTGTACATCCTCTACCACGTTACATGTAATACAGTTAGGTGAATTTGTTTTTTTCATTAGGAATGCAAACTTTGCTGATGGAAAGTGTCCGGATCGCAATCTTAGAGCTAACTTAATGTAGTTTCTACTTAACCTACTACAGTTAAACCAGGGTATAAGAGGAACTTCGTCTTGAATTGCCTTGTACCATATTCCTTTTTCTTTAGATATAGTGTTAAAATGTTCGTTCCAATTATCAAAACATTTAGTTTTAAATTTAGATACATATTCTACATAATCTGGTAAAAAATTATATTCGACACCTGCCGTCGCCGCCAATTTAGACAGACGATCCGCTTCCTCGTTCCCCCGTAAACCAATATGCGCTGGAACCCATTGCAACTTAACCACCGAGTTCCTTTTAACATACAATAAAATGACGTTTAATATTTCGTAAGCTATCGAAGCACCTCTGAAACCAGAGGCGCATCGAGCCACGTGTTGCAGTGCACTTTTACTGTCTGTAAAAACAACTACTTTATTGTAATTTTTTCCCAACGCATAGGACAAAGCTTGTAATATTGCAATGAGTTCCAACGTCATAATAGATACTTCTGAACTTATTTTAAAACCTGCTCTGTGATTACAACTATGATCATAAAAACCTGCACCTAATCCATGAGCGCCCTTAGACCCATCAGAATACAATTTATTCCAACCCCTATAGTTCGTATTTAACTCTTCTACAACATTATTTATCAAAGTATTAGGCTCATAGTAAGATTTCGCTAGTGATATGCTATCTAAATTAATACTGACACATTTTTGAAAATCAATAGCCGATAACCAAACCTCGAAAGAAAACATTCTAAGAATATCAACAGAATCGCAATTAATTTGTTTAATATCTTCAAATGTTTGTGTCAGCAAAGGCTTTTTTTTAGTAGCCCAATATCTGATGTGACATAGAGCACTCATTTCAGAAATTAAACTATTAATATTATTTACGGACCAAGATCTAATTTTTAATGAATATTTGTACGCTAGATATTGTCTCCTAATAAACAGAGGCGGAATGTGCAACTCACTCTCCATGACATGAATAGGTGAGCTTTTGATAAATCCCCCTACCACTCTCAATGCCTGGTTCTGAATTTTATCAAGTTTACAAATATGACTTTTAGCACTACAATCATATAGGAAGGACGCATAGTCAATACGACTTCTAATTAGGGATATATATAGTCTTCGTAAATGTGTCATGTGTACCCCCAAGAACTACCCGCTAATAACTTTAATATGTTTAGAAATTTGGAACATTTATCGACCACCTCATTGATATGCTTTCTCCAGTTTAAGCCCCTATCGAGCCACATACCCAGATACTTTATATTTTCAGAATAAATCAGAGGGCTGTCTATTTTTAGAATAGGTAAATTCCTTCTATGTCCTCTGCTAAAAAGACAATATTGCGTCTTGTTTGAAGATAGTGCCAATCCTAGGTACTTTAGTAATTCTACTACTATATTCAAAGCATTCTGAACGTACATTTCACAGAGTTTAATATCCTTATTACTAATATATACAACGAAATCATCAGCGTATTGCAATGCAAATACATTTTGAAGCCTATGACATATTTTGTACGTAACCAAATTAAAAAGTAATGGAGAAAGTGGATCTCCTTGAGCTAAGCCATTGTTAGTATATCTGCTTACCATATTATTGTCAATTAATTTTATCTTTAAATGCCTCTCACTTAAAAACGACCAGAGATATTTACAGGTCCTCGAACCGATGTTTAACTTATCAAGTACGACACTAAGTTTAAAGTTTACTTAGTTTATTTGCAGTGGTATCGAATAAAAAATAATAATAGAAATCGGACTATGACGTGACATGGTTTTATTTAAAAAAAAACTAAGACGCAAGTGCAAGTATAGATAGTTCAACTCAGTTGTGCGCGCGGCCCTATGTGTGCGTGAGCTTGTAAATATACAACTTTCATTCGTGTGGCAGTGACGCGGCAGTCGGACCACGACTGCCACACGAATGAAAGTTGTATATTTTCAAGCCCACGCACACATAGGGCCGCGTGCACAACTGAGTTGAACTATCTATAGACATGTAGACCAGTGTTGCCCACCTAGTAGATTGTCCACTAAAACTGGTGGTTTCGACCCTACTGTTGTGCCGAAATATTGCCTTAGTGGCTAGTGATTTTTTTTAGTGGTAACTTTGCAGAGTATTTAGGAGATGGTATTTAAAAGCGGAGGTCTAGAATACACTTAATAAAACTAACACATACATAGATTTTATGAAATGTAAATTTACTAAAAATAAAAAGAGTTTTTATTTTGTCTCATTTGGAAATTGGATTGGATTGGATTTGACGTAAGTGCTCAGGAAGAGAAGGATTATTAACTTTAGGCAATTGGATGATGTAGGCTTTGTACCAGAGAGACCGAAGGTTCCGGAGTAGAGAGAGAAGTCAAAGATATAGACTATAATTTCGAGGGCATAATCTAGGATGGTAACTACCGTCCTACGGCTAACATCATCACAAAATTCACAACCCATTGCGTTAGAACGGACATTAAAGAGGACGATTTTGATGACTATAGAGGACACAAAATTGATAATATGGGTGCTAAGTCTGTTGTTCTAAAACTCTCTAAACTAAACTAAAAATCACTAAAAATTTGTTTAATTCTGTCAAACAACGTTTCCTATTCTGAAAACGTAATATTTGACAGGACAATTTTTTTTTAGTGATTTTTAGTATGTAGTCATGTCGCTCCATCACATCCTCCGACCAGGCGAGGTGATCATGCCAGGCGGGCCGCGGCCCAACGGTTGATGTTCGAAAGTTGTATATACGTATATATGCTAATCGGCGAATCCTTCATATCGCGATACAGGATTAGCAATTCTCATTTAGTAGTTACTCCGTAGTTCGGTGTGTCTTCGTTAGATGGCGCTGTAGTATGTTTCTGTTTCTTTGTATGTGGGAGTAGCCACAAATCTTTTATCTGCTATGTTAGAAGTAGTAAGAATACTCAGTGGTATGAGGTTGTAAGGAAAATGCTGTAACGAATATGAAATTATAATAAACGTTGTAAAACAATTCGGTGCCAAAGAATCGTATCAATCTGATTGAAACCGACGATGATGGGGACAAAACGATTCACCTGAAGAAGACGAATTAATTTAAAAGTAGTTACTGTTGTTATTGAAAATGCTTTATGTTCCTAAACGATTGTTTTGTTGATTTTTTTAATGTTAGCATTAACCAGTATTACGTAATAACGTAAAAACAATAAGTATAATACAAACGTAGTGTTTCCTTCATAATAATAAAAAAAAAAAATCTATAGTAGAAAAATTGCGATTATTTTGGAGTAGGACCGTCTTTCGTTAGTAGTGTTTTTGTGGTTTTAGGTATTGTCTTTGGTGCTGATTTAATTTAACTGTTGGATCAATGGATCATAAATGTCCAAATCTTATCTAACCTTGCAACTACTAGACACGAGAACTTTTGATGTGAAACATCTAATGCGGAAGGTCAGACCGGCTGTTGGCAGTTGCCAAGTGACTCTACCACTCTCTCCCCACTTAATTTTTGTAACAAATTAACAAAAAAAAACAGTGTTTTTAAAAAATCTGAATTTTGATGTGGTACATTTAATGCAGAGAATCAAACCGGCATTTAGCGTCGCCACGCTAGTGATTGTTTTTGTAACATGTAATGTCATATGGCGACGCGCTTAAAATCTTAAAACAGTCTGTTTATTATTTATTATTCCCTTTCATAAGCTCATTATTAGTTATTATATACTTATTTATTACTCATTATTTCCATTAAATAATTTCGTTGTATCACATCTGCTACACGTCCCGTGAAGGCACAATTTTTTCATCATTTAAAAACAGCTTTCAAAATTCCTCTCTCTTATTTGGTACTTTAGAGTTATAGACAAATAACACCCAATGACTTACTGTTTTGTTTTTTCAATAGACCAATAAACAACTTCGGTCACCATGACAACAACGCCATTGACATAACACCGTCAATTTTTGAAGACGATTTTACTCCTAAAACCTAAATCAGTAAAAAAATGTTTTTCAAGTGATCTGCGACCATCATGAAATTGCTCAAGTTCCACTTGAGGTACCACCCTCCTGGCATCATACTGGAGTATCTCCAGAAAGGAGTTGTCAAAAATAAGGACATTGATCTTTTAGATTTAAACGGGGAGTAAGTTTTTAAATCTGTATTATTTAGCACAAATTGTTTATCTTTACGGCTAACTCATCCTATATTTTGCTTTCACGTAATCTCACAAAAGGGAGGTCCCCAAAAGACCAGTTTTCCTTTTACAATACGTACTAGCTGATCAAATATCTCCCCAAACTTTGAACACCTTCGAGTTTTAATCTGACGACACAAAGCAGACTGTGCTCTTTTCATGCCCCCCCCCCCCCTCCCTCTAACTCTTTGTCAAAATTCTCTGCAACTAATTTGGCGGCTTGGACTCGAAAACAGACTAAACAGGCAGGATTTCGCGTTAAAATATCACCCTCAGAAAACGACCTAACATAAAATTAGCAAGCATATCTTCATAAAGAAGAATACACAGGTAAATAGCACAATCAACGCAACTGACCGGCATTCCTATTCATAATTTGTAACTCTTTTTCCCCACTACGTCTTAAAGAAGGCTTTTTAAGGTTCATACCAAAATATATTCCAGAAATTAAGAGATAGGTCGATTATCTGTGTCTCTAAACGACGAAGTAATAGTTATATTTTTCTAGTTAAGAAAAGATATTTGTAAACATTCGTATTCGTTGTAAACTCAATTATTTATTCCCATGTTACCTCAAAAATTTACAATTTATTCCTCAGTTCAGACATCAAGGAGGTAGCCAGTGGCCTTCACAAGAACGAGGTTCTCATCACCGAAGAAGTTCGTGGTCAGCTGGAGAAATGCCTGTCGATGCTGAAGAAACGCATCGAGCACGAAGGTCCAACAGGAAAGCGGTTCTACATTTATAAGACGTTAATGACTCATGTTTTACCACTCACCAATGTCGCTTTTGATAAAACTGGGAGCAGGTATGAACATTTGTTATTGTGCTATTAGGCTTTTGAATGATTTCATGGTTTCAATAACCCGCGGCGTCTATTTCTCTCAATTCTTCAAAAGTACCAAACAGATTTTTATCCTGTTTTATTCAATGGATAGATTGATTCATGAGAAAGATTTAAATGTATAATTCATTTCATAGTTTGCTTAAACTATGCTATAATACATCAGTTATTGTTGAAGATATCAGTAATCGTGCCAACTGGGAGCTTTAGTTGTGCGCGCTTCGTAAACAACGTATCATTTTAATGCAGTAGTGTAAAGCACATACTTTTTGTGTGTTTGTTTTTTTTCTTCTTCATCAAGGCGCAAATACAGCCGCATATGGAATACTATTCTCATCTCTATGCAGGGGTACCCAGGTACCAGCTTCTCCCTCTGGACCGTTGCGCAACGAAGAGCGACAAATCGTCGGTAGCCAAAATATCTCCGATCGGTTGGACGGCTTGGCGTTACCGAGAGATGTAGCTTCACTTTGAATTCTCTATCGTATATATTATGGACAATGCTCCTAGGCATTGTTCGGCCTTATACGAGCCTCAACTTTCCGCCATCGTTCGACAAAATTTTCATCCCCATTACTTGGATAATTGGCACTCCACCACAGTGCACTTTTTGTCTCGCACAACAAATCTGTGGAACAAATTATCGTCTGGACCCTCAAACCTTCAAGAAAAGAGCGTACTCCTCCCTCAAAGGCCAGCAACGCGTTTGTGACAACTGAGTTGCAGGCGTTCATGGGCGGAGGTAGTTCACTTTCCACCAGGTGATCCATCTGTCCGTTTGCCCCCTTTTGCAAAAAAAAAAGCGCTCAAAGGGCTAGACCAATTTTTATAAAATTTGGGATGCAGATACCCTGACACCTTGGAGTAACACATGCTTTTTATCCCGAAAAATTATATATTCCCTTGGGATGATCAAAAGAATTGTGGCAAACAAGCAGACAGATCGCCTGATGGTAAGTATCTACCGACGGTCATGGACATCTGCAAATAAAGCGACAAATGCGTTGATACAATGGTCAAAAAAACTGAATTGATGTGTAAAGATCTGACTTTCATGGTGAACTCAAACCCTTCCTGTTACGCACTTTCGTCCCTATTCACGATATCTCTCCCACAGATTGTCACATACCAATAATCCATTTGAATTCTTATTACAATTAACATTACAGGTGTATTTCTGGAAGTTACGACAGAACCTGCAAACTTTGGGACGTTGAGACTGGACTTGAGCTGAAAACTTTTTCAGGTCATCAGAACGTCGTATACTCCGTGGGCTTCAACTTTCCAGTATGGTCAGTTCCTTAACAAATAGAACCGTTTGTGTTAATAATATTGTACATAAGTGATGATGGCAGGTAAATGATAATAACCACTCATAATGTAGTTATATTTGTGGCCTTTGCAGAACTTGAAGTAATTAATACCATCATCTCATGATTTCAGCCACCTTTTGGTATAAGATCTGAGTATCAGTGGACTGGACTGGCCTGTTGGTCTAGTTGCTAGTGACCTTAACTGCTAAGCTAGAGGTCGTGGGTTCGATTTCCACCTAGGACAAATAATTGTGTGATGAGCACGATTATTTGTTCTATGTCTGGGTGTAATTTATATAAAATATGTATGTATTTAAAAAACACATTGCATACTTATATAGTATATGTTTGTCAGCAGTCTGGTTATATACAGTATGTAAGGGACTTCGTAACGAATACTGAAATAATGTATTCAGACCATAATTCTGAATCGAAAATCATTGAAATTTTCTGCCGTAAATTATTTTTTTATAACTTTTTTTAGTTAAAAATGAAATCACAATGAGAACAGAAAATTTTACCGAAAACTATTAAATAAATACCGCATTCAGTCAAAAAGTGCAATGTAATTAATCAAACAACCGAAGCACGCGGGGCCTCCCCTCCGGCCGCCAACTTGTGTAGTTGTCACTTTTGTGCGATACCTACAGGGAATGGCCTTAACCTTTGACAGCTGATTGCATAAAAAAATTAATTTGCCGACAGAAAATTCCAATGATTTTCGATTCAGAATGATGGTCTAAATACACTATTTCAGTGTTCGTTACGACATCCCTTACACCCTTTATAGTACAGGCTCTGCCTAGTTTGGGATCAGTCGGCCGTGTATGAAATGAAGTCATTAATAAAATTTGACAAAGGGCAGGAAAATCGTGATGGAGTATATATATAGTATTATAATTTGACTCTTCTGGTATTCGTCAAATTTCAACTGATTAAGGGGTTCCCACACAGGAGGGGGCCGTCTACACGCCGTGGATGGCCCGAGGTACGTCGGGGTGCCAGGGATTTCCTTTCTAGGGTACACCTGGTTCCCCGGCTACTGGTACCCGAGAAGGCGTGCGGTTTTGGGTCGGTTCGAGTCCGACATAATCCGGTCCGGTGGGTGATATCCGGGTTATTTCCGCACAGGAAAATAAAAAGGATCTCATGGTATCTGTTACCTTTTGGTATAAAATCCGAGTGACAGAAGGGCAAATCACACGATTGCCCAGTCGAACGACGACGATGAGTTTGTTTACTGTCTGGACTCCGTTCTGTGAAATTCACATTACTTTTATTTCGGATAAATTTTTGTGTACGTAGTGATAGCAGATATCAGTATCAGCATACACAAACATTCACACCAAACATACCATATGAATGTTTAGACTACGCGGTGATTGTACTCGTTATTGCGCCTAATGCGTCATCAAGGTCGTCTATTGTACTCGTATTTTAATGGTAATCAAGGTTTTGTATAAGACATGTTTAAGGAGCTATTTATTGAAGGTACAAAAGTATTACTTTTTGAAGATGAATGAATCTAGACTCTAGGAACTGGGTCTTTAAGTTCAAATTAGCTATGACATATTAGCTTACATAATATGTGAGACTCTCTGGTGTGGCATGTATTAGTATCTTAGAGTGATCACAACTTATTATTATTATCTTCATCAACAGTCTTTAATAGTTATTATGCAAGATTCAACTGATGTGAGATCCCCCGAGGCTACAAAGCGGTCAAAACATTGAATTCATGTTGGGAAAAAGCTTTTCACCTACTTGTGATATAATAAGTCCATATATTTTGGCTAGTTGGAAGGTTTTTTTAATTGGGACTAATCCTTCCCACGCGCCTAGGACTGTACCTCCTGTACACCAGGATCAACAACAGTGATTCACGAACACACCGAGTTTTTCACTCACACAAAATTAAACGACATTAATCAGAAGTAAATTAGTTTTTTTTTTTTTTTTTAAAAAAGATAACTCCCGCATTAGGAATAAATCCTGTGTCGCGGGGGACTTTACAAACATACATGAAACGGACACAAAGAACACCCAGACTCAGAACAACAATTTGTGGATCACACAAAGTGTCGTCCCATGTGGGGTTTGAACCCACAACACTCGGCGTAGTAGGAAGCGGCGTGGCGACCGCTTAAACCACTACGCCATCCGTACAGTCAAATCTAATAATTCCTATGCCCTCTTTAGTTTGTGGTTCACCTATATCACACGTGGTGGTGTATCACACACACATTGCACAACATTGTCACACACATTTATCAAGTACAGGAGTCTCTGAGCGAATCTCATATTATTATATTTGACTGCCTCGGTGGTGCAGTGGTAGCGTATGCAACTGCTGTCTCTGGTTCGATTCCCGGGTCGGACCAAATGTTTGTATGATCTGCAAATCTTTGTTTGGTAGTTTGGGTGTTTTTTGTGTATAATATGTATGTATTTATTTAAAAAAAGTAAAATAAGTATTCTATCAGTCAGTCTAGTTTTCATAGTACAAGCTCTGCTTAGTTTAAAGCTAGATGGCGTTGTGTGTCAGATGTCAGAGATATTATTATATTGGGTTTTAATTTTATTTTCTCAGCTTTTTAGCTGATTCCACCGTATTTACGAGTCAGGATCCGTAAATACAGTGGAACAAGCAAGTAAATTTATTATTATTAATTAATTAAAAAAAATAATTACCTATGTACTTTTGGACAATGAAAGGTCAGACATCTGGCCTTTTGGGTACCAGGTCTAAAAAGCTTCTACTGTGATTTGTTACAGCAATCGCATCTTGACTGGTTCTTTCGACAAATCAGCAAAGATCTGGGACCCAGAGACTGGAGAATGTCTTGCTACACTCATGGGTCACCGTGGTGAGGTTGTAGCTGCACAGTTTAATCCCAAGGGAGATCTTGCAGCTACTGGTTCCATGGATCACACTGCAAAGCTTTATGATGCCCGCACTGGTAATTTACTTCATGATTTTTATATAGCCGTATGTTTACTAGCCCAGTGGCGTCATGACAAATGTAGCTTTTCAACTGTCCGTATAAATATGAATAATAACAAAACTTAATTGTGACCACAAGATTCATAGGATACATAAAAAATCAATGGAAACAACAATATCTACAAACCGAAAATACAGACACACAAAAAAAAATACGCTGCCGTTTTGATCTAGTGCTTGTACATAATAAAAAAAAAACCTTTATTTGACCAAGCTAAAGTTCTTCTTATATACTAGAATTACTTACTAATTGCTAAGTGTTAGTAGTAAGTAACTTAAATTTCTCTTACTATTCATATTTAATATTAATACTAAATGAATTATTTCTAGTTATCTTCTTTTTGGTTTGTGTAACGGACTGCTATTCTAAAGGTCGCGAGTTTGATTCCCGCTCAAGCCAAACATCCATCATTGTGACAATCTATTGTGATTCATCAATCTGCTTAATCGAACAATCCATAACATCATTTTACTAGTTTGCGTCACGCGTTTGTAGAAACCCTCCATTGCTAATAAAACGGTTAAGTAACGCCATCTGTGTCGTGTTGTATGTAATAAGTAGTTTTTAGAGAAAAATTAAACGAGAAGGAAAACCAACAAGTTTACTACAAAAGAGTACATCTCTTTTTCACATTGCACTCGTTTCCAAAAAATAGCACTAATATATGCAGAGATGGCCTAAAGAGTTATCTATACATGACTAACTGACTGACTGACTGTATGGTAACGGATTAAGAATACAGAGTGTCACCACCCCTATTCATCCCGTGGGTGTCGTAAGAGCCGACTAAGGGAACAAACTACGCAGGACAACAGCACTGCAAAGAGAAGGAAAACTTGAAAAAAAACCCTATACCAAACTCCCCTTTCTAAGGAGAGGATTATGTACAGCAGTGCACTATCAAAGGCTGTCGACGTGATGTTATGCACAGGTGGCGTAATGATTTAGCTAGTCACCTCGCCGCTTCCTATTGCGCTGGTGTTGTGGGTTCAATTCCCAAATAGGACAACACTTTGTGTGATCCACAAATTGTTGTTCTGAGTCTGGGTGTTCTTTGTGTCCGTTTCATGTATGTGATGTATATTTGTAGTCCCCCGCGTACAGGATATGTTCCTAGTGCGGTAATTGTCTTTTTAAAGAATACTGTTTCTTGCTTTTATACCAGTGTTTTTCAGAATCAATTTTTCAATTTCCAAGTCCCGTATTCTTGCATTATATCATAATTGCAGGCCAGGAGATCCATTCGTACGCTGGTCACTCCGCTGAGGTGATTGCTCTACAGTTTGACCCCAACGAAGGTCAGAGGATGATCACTGGCTCCTTCGACGGTACTATATCCTTATGGGACACGAGGCTTGCTGAGTGAGTTCAGTTCAGTTCGTTTATATTAGAATATAAGATACTGTATAATGGGAGAACCATGAAAGGGTGAAATGAAATACTAAATTCATGCGCCTGTTCGAAATAACATAGCAATTTGTTTACACAAGGATTGCTTGATACTGAAAAAAAATGGACTATTTTTTTTAGTGTATTGTCATTGATAATACACTAATTAAAAAAAAAAGTTTAAAAAAACTAATAAACACGCTTTTTATAGAAAACCAAACTAAAAAATAGAAAATAAATTTTAATAAATTTGAAAAAAAGCCTGTGGTGCTTTTCACTATTGACAACAGGCACCAAAAGCTTGTTTTCAAATTTATTAAAATTTATTTTCTATTTTTTAGTTTGGTTTTCTATAAAAAGCGTGTTTTTTAGTTTTTTTAAACTATTTTGTTTATATATTTTTTTTATATTTTTTTTGTTAATTAGTATATTGTCATCGGTCCTCGACATATCTACAAAGTTTGAACGAATTCTGACCGTTTAAAGTCATGCAAATTCACGCCCAAAGGAGTCGGTTACAAACAAACATACAAGTGAAGCTTATATAAAGCGTGTAAAAATACACATCGTTTTTGTACCTAGACTGTAGCCAACAAGCGTACACCCTTACCACGGTACAATTATAATACAGTAGTGTAACTCGGCCGCATGATAGAAATAAATGCCTACAGCCGCGCGGTACGTAAACATGCGTTAGGGCTGCCCGTCTCCAGCATTTTAATTATATTTGCCTACTTTCTGTTTCTATTTAGATTTGTGATTGTAAATATCCTTTTTATATAAATAAATGAAATACTTTGTATATTGAATAGGAAGTGTTCAATAAAAATGCGTGTAAAAATATGTTGTTTTTTGATTGGTAGATTTAATTGAAAAAACATGTTTTTGTTTGAAAAACAAATCGGGCTTATAAATTTGCGACCGAAAAAAATCCTTCTATAAAATAAAATAAATGTGCTTTCTCCTTACGCGTTACAAAACTCCAATCCTTAGAAACTCCAACACCTACCTACTCAACTAGAATGCAAGAAACATCTGACGAGTAAGTAACTTTTTATCTCAGCTTATTAACGTCTCTATAAATTAGGTACCTACCTACAACTCGCAACAACTCAAAACAAAAATTATTTGGTCACCAATTAATTAATTATTAAAAAGCTGAACAGCTGACTACGAATGTTTTAAAATCACAACCTAGCTCTAGCTGTTGTTGTTAATACCGAGAAAATAAAACCAGTTTTTAGTTTTATATGTTGTTATAGTAGCAGCAGAAACACTTTGTGAAAATTTCGAAAACTGTCTAATGACACACAGACGGTAAAAAAATTTTTTTAGTATTATTCATACACACAGATAATAAACAAATATTATTAATAATAAAATACCACGTCTTTACTTTGAATTATGCAAAGTAACAAAACACACATGCACCGAAGTTTTAACACAAGCGTAAGTAGGTAGGTACCTGCCGTATCATGATTCATTCAGAACCGCATATAACTACCGATTTCATTCGTCTCAATAACTTTCCGTTATTCTATTTGCTTTATTTATTCATCCAAACACCTTTTTTTTCGTCAGATAAAAGGAAATACTTATCCATTTAAAAGACACACATGATGTACCCACCTACTAGTAAGTAAAATTATTTTATAGTCTTACCTTTCAGAGTTTCCAGGTAATTTAAATAAAACTTATGTCTGGATGCGTTATTGACGAATTCATACAACCAAAAACAGCACAATATTTCCTACTCGTCATATTAACTGATTTTTAGAGAAAAAATCGCGCGGTTATTGTTAAAAAAACAACACACAGTCCGTTCGACACTGCGGTACAGCCGTGACTGTCTGCGCCCCGAGCGCACCCCGAGATCGAGGCGCGTAGGTATAGCTCGCGTTTCGTCCGTTTGTATGAAGTTGGAGTACTGTATTATAATAGTACCGTGCCCTTACTGACTTATGTTCGTGTAATCTATAGACGCCTACTATTTTAGAGCAAAACCCATAGAATATGTACACTTCCTTAAAGAATCCCGAATCGTAATTTCCCTCCGGAAACCCCGAAAACCTGCTAAATCATGTCATCATATTTATAAGGGAAAGGCAGGTAAGAAGGATGAAAGGGAAGGGATGTGGTTTGTAGAGATAGATTGCCGCATAAACCTATTTTTATGAGGTTCGTATAAAGGGGTTTCGGAGAGTCTGTTCGCTCGCGAACAGTTGTTGAAGACATGGCTCAAGGTGGATCACTGTGTCGCTCAATATCTTACAGGTCATGGTTACGTTAAGAGAAAACTGTATTTCTTTAAATTAATCGAGTCACCATTGTGTCAATGCTCAATACTTGACTCTTAACTGTGAGCAGTCTGCTCATCATATCCTCTGGGAATGATCACCATCATGATCAATCTTTGGTATAATGAACCTAGTACAAAGCTGAATAGCTTACAGGTGACATCTGGGGTGGTATGCCTGGGGTATATGGGGATCTTGTGTCAACCAGGGTGAATTTTCGAGAGTTTATGCGATTCTGCCATACATATTACAGAAATGAAATACAGCTCACGGCCACAAAATATGATGGGACTTAATCCATAATACCTTGTGGCCGTGATGGTGGTGCTTCCCAGTTTAAGAGTATATGACTATTTTACTTCATTCTGTCTCCCGCTTTGGAAGGAACTGGATTTATTATATTTCGAATCCCTCCAATTTTCTTCTGATTAATTTCGTTGCAGGTTACAAGACAGTTTAATTTTTTCCTGGGACTTCCCAAGTGTCATAACTCGGTGTATTCGTGGGTCACTGCTGTTGATCCTGGTGTACAGGAGTTACAGTGGTGGGCGTGTGGGAGGGATTAGTATCATTAGAGGGATTTGGCTTTCCGGCAATAGCCAGTAATAATATATGGAAAACAATTTTAAGACCATTGTTTTCCCTTCTTTTCCAACTTTTCCTTCAATATACCTATTTGCCTATCTAATTTATAAATAGTCTAATTCATAGTTGCTATTACGTAAACGGAACTAAAATCTGTTGGCAAAAAGTGGGCGTTTGATATCCCTCTGTTTGCCCTTCGGATGTATAGGCGTGAGTACATCAATTTTATGAGTCATTTACTATTTCCAGTCGGACAGCAGTCCTCAAAGGCCATGACGGAGAGATATCGAACGTGCAGTTCAACTGGGACAGTTCTCTGGTGGGATCCTCTTCTCTGGATGGTAGCGCCAAGCTCTGGGATGCTAAGCAGAGTTCATGCCTTGCTACTGTTTCGGGGCATACTGGTGAGGTAGGTAATACAACTATTGGTTAATAAATGAATTGTATTTGAGTAATAAAATAATCTATAGTTAATACAAACACAATCATTTTATTTGCTTTTAATATTGATAAAAATGTTGCATGATAAAAAAAAAACCCCTAGTTCTTGGGGCACTGAAAGGGTGGCAACACTTGTGAATCTTGAACTGCAGGTACCCACAGACGACGGTCCATAGAGTCACTTACCATCTGGTGACCCGTCTGCTTGTTTGCCCCTACACCATTAAATAGACAAATATGTCACATCCTTTCTTTTCTCCATGTAAAGGTACTGGACATCTGCTTCGATTGGGCTGGTAAACGCATGGCCACGTCATCCAGCGACTGTTCTGCGAGGATCTACGATGTCAAGGCTGACTTCATGGAGCTAGCTGTCATGAAGGGACATCGCGAGGAAGTATCTAAGGTAATAGAAGAGAAAGTACCTCAGTAACATTGACTAGTTTTTAAGTTTTTTTCTATGATATGACATTAGCTATGTGGAGGAACGGGTGTCATGTCCCTCCAACACAAAGGGAGGATCCTCCGACCAGGCGAGGTGATCATGGCTGGCGGGCCTCGGCCTAACGGTTGATATTGGGTAGTTGTATATATGCTAATCGGCGTGAGAATCATTCATATCGTGATATAGGATTGGCAGTTACTCCGTAGTTGGGTGTGTCTCTGTTAGATGGCGCTGTAGTATGTTTTTGTTTCATGGTATGTAGAATTCGCCACAATTTCAATAATATTAAAGGATAAATTATATGGCGATACTATGAACGCCTGCAGCTCAAGAGTCACAAGACATTTAAATGTCTACTTTGTTGGAATAATATTTCTCTTACAACGTCAATTAGGACACTTGTAAGATATTTAACTGTATGTTTCTTGTCAGGTGTGCTTCAGCCCTGCAGGAGGATGTCTGCTGACAGCGTCAGCGGACAGAAGCGCTCGAGTGTGGAACACCAGCACAGGAAACTGCATACAGGTATAGACAGATCACACACGTTCACTCCAACATGACACATCTGTGTTGTTACAATACTGATTTGGAGGAAAAACCCAAGCCTAGCAAAAACCTTTGTTTCAAATTACGTATTCCGTGTAGATCAGTAGGTGATAGCAGAATACCAGCTTTCTTTTATTTCTTTCTTCAAAAGTGTGTGTGTTCTTCGTGTCGCGGGGGACTATACATGAAACGACCACAAAGAACACCCAGACTCAGAACAACAAGTCAAAAAATTATAATAATATTTTGGACATCTGACACACAACACCATCTAGTTTCACAGACTATCGATCGATCGAACCCGAGACCTTAGCACAACAGTCGCATACGCTACCACTGCACCACTGAGGCATTCGAGTCCTTAAAACCTGTTCTATTCACTTTCAATAAGAGATCACCTCTTTTCTAGGTACTCTCCGGGCACCAGGGTGAGATCTTCTCCAGTGCATACTCTTACGCTGGAGACGCTATCATCACCGCCTCGAAGGACAACACCTGTAGGATATGGAGGTGACTGGATTGGTGGTTGTAGCCCTCACACCTTTCTACGTTGAAAAACTGAGAACAAAATGGTGTAAATTTTTAATCAATTATTTTGTAGAAATTTAGTAGGATTTATATTTAAAAAAATAGAAAGGATAATTAATGGGTATTAATAAAAATAATGTACGAATTGTTGAAGGTTATTAATTTAATAAATTTACTATATTTTAATGCTATTTATACTCAGTTCATTATCAGACGATATTATAGTACAACAGGAATAAAAAGCGGCCAAGTGCAAGTCGGACTCGCCCATAAAGGGCAGCCGTAGCAGCAAATAACATAATATAAAAGTTCTTGTAGTTCGTAAAAACCACTTACTAGATCTCGTTCAAACCAATTTTCGGTGGAAGTTTGCATGGTAATGTACATCATATATTTATCATTTTCTTATTTTAGAAGTTACAGGGGGGGGACACATTTTACCACTTTGGAAGTGTCTCTCGCGCAAACTATTCAGTTTAGAAAAAAAAAATGTTTTTTTCTATTTTTGTGTGAAAATATTAATGCGGTTCACAGAATACATCTACTTACCAAGATTCAACAGTATAGTTTTTATAGTTTCGGAAAAAAGTGGCTGTGACATACGGACGGACAGACAGACAGGCATGACGAATCCAATGGGTTCCGTTTTTTGCCATTTGGCTACGGAAACCTAAAAATGAAGGATTGCAAAATTCTGAACAGAAATCAAAATATTAATGGCGATCAGGATGTGAATATCAGCAATGACTAACTATTTAGAAACACGTAGTTCAATAAAGATGAAAGGGGGAATATAGTGGGAAGCCCCCCCCCCCCCATTCATTCCGTGGGTGTCGTAAGAGCCGACTAAGGCAGCAAACTACGCAGGACATAAGAAAAAGGAAAGAAATAAATAAATAATATTAATAATGTTGTAATAGTAATATTTTACGTTAATATTACCATTAGTAAATTAGAACCAATGAGGTCACTTGATGGTAAGTGACTACCGCCGCCCATTGACACTCACATCTCAAGATTCACAGTGTTTGAGTTCTCTCCCCAGAATCAGTTGAAAGAGGGGTTACGGTCTTCCCCCTGATTCTGGAGCCGGTTTTCTATGAGACTATGATATCACTCCGGTAGTGCCGGCCTATTTATGTCAAAGCATGACAAACCTCCTTTCTAAAGAAAGACTTATGTCCAGCACTGGATTACTAAAGGCTATTGATGATGATTGCTCTCTCATTATCCACAGCTTTAATAGTCCACTGCTGGACATATGCCTCTCCTTAGAAAGGAGGTTTTGGCCTACTATACCACGCTGGCCAGACGGGTTGTAATAGGGTTTGTTTAAAGTTTCCCTTCTCTTTACAGTGCTGACCAACATAGCTTGCTCCCTTAGTCGGCTTTTACGACACCCACGAGACGAATAGGGGTGGTAGCACAATTGACGTACTTACATTGTTCTAAATACATACATAGAATAGATAAATTACACCCGATGAGCCCAATCTGTTTTTGTTTATGGAACAGGGGGCAAACGAGCAAACGAGTCGCCTGATGAAAAATGACGACCGCCGCCCATAATCGCCTGCAATTCAGGCGTCACAAGCCCGTTGCTGGCCTTAAATACAACCTGTGTCTGGACAAAGAGCGGGCTCGTCTCACAATTATCTGTCATGGCATGCCCACGCCCCCCCTTTTTTTTCTTTGCGGAACTCCCCTCGGATACCACCCACCAGTGGGTGATTATGTCGGACTCGAACCGACATAAAACCGCACGCCGTCTCCAGGTACCAGTAGCCGGGGAACCAGGTATACCCTAGAAAGGAAAGCCCTGGTACCCCGACGCACCTCGGGCCATCTACGGCTTATAGATGACCCCTCGTGTGTGGGGTAATCATTATCAGCACTGTATCTGTTTACTACGTAAATAAAAAGTCATAACAGCAATACAAAATGAATAAACTATTTGCACAAGTGCCGAATTGGACTACGGACGAGAACATTTAGTGTTTAAGCTGTAAGCAGGAAATGGGTGCTCATCCGAAATGTGCATACTTATGTGCTGATTCATCTCCATAAATACTCGGGCTACTTTCAAGTGCATCACCGAATATGGTACTGGTTTGACACATTCTTTTTTGTGAAAGGGGGCTAGACGGAAAAAATTCCCACTAAAAGTTGTAACGACACTTTTTATTTTGAATTGTCACTTGTCAGTCATTCAGCGCCATCTATCGAATAGATAGGAAATCATTACTTTTCATCTCAGTAAAATTAAAATTTATGTTCTTAGGTTGAGCAAAAAATATTGTATTCGACATAATTTCTCAAGGAGATTTTACCAATGTATAAATTGTTTTAATTAGAAACCAACTGAAAAATATGTAGGTAATAGCCGCTTTCATAGATGGCGTTGTAATTAAAATCGTGTCGAATCAGTTTTACTCGATCGTCACAACTTCGTTCCTATCGGGTGTCCCACGACACCACACGGCTTTTTTTCTTTCATAATAGTGTGGATAAGCTTTTAGTGTTGGAAAAAGTTTTAGTGTTTAGTGTTGGTCGGATGCAGGAAAAGTTGCTTGGAAATTAAGCAATATGCCAATAGTTTTATCCAGTAAATTCATATTACTGAAATGTTAAAAGGATATTGTTCGTCAAGATGGAAAGTAGTTAAGAGAATTTGAAGAAATCAGTAAATTGGAAGAAGAAATTTTTGCTTTTAAGACAGATAGAGCTTATTGCATGTTTTGTGCTGTCCGTGTGGTGACGGATTAAGAATAGGGAATGTCATCACCCCTATAAATGCTGTTGATGATGATGCCGAGTGCCGATGTGCCGAGAAACCGGACACTATTGTTTTAAGCACTAATTGAGACAATAATATTAATTAATCATCTCATTATGAATTAATGTCTTGCTAACGACGTCGTCTAAGCGGTTCGCAAGAAATTTATCGCTTACTGTGACTGTTTACACAGCGAAATACACAACAAGGAATTATTTGAACATTGTAAGACATTTTACGCCCGACACGACAGTTTTGTTTAGTGTGGTGTGACTGGGTGTTAACACATTCCACATATCACGATTATAAGCTCAAAAAATAAAATAAATATATTATAAGCTCCAATTCTCGATTGGTTTACGAAAAACTTGTTTTAAATAATAATTATGCTAGCTTCATAGCAATTTTAGTTCTTCTTCTTCTTTTAATTCAGTGGCTCCATCGGATGTCGATGATTTTGCCAACGTCTGGGTGGGAGGTAGATTTATTAGTTATAGTATAACTTAAATAATATATAGTGGGAGGTGGATTTATTAGTTAATAGGTTGAAAATATTTGGAATACCAAGAGGGAATTGTTGTGATTTCAACAGTTTCTGTTTGTGGTTCTGTGGGACGGTAGAAAAAAATAAGAAAAAAGTATAGCAGTAAAACAATTTTAGTTACATTTTTACATGGGCATTCCATCTTTTTTTTTCTTTTTTTTTCTTTACATCTTTTTTCTATCTGCTTTTCTGACAGGTGATGTCACCTGTCAGAAATCTCAATTACATTCTGATTTAGGTCGAAGCTGGATCTAGATTATGAACCAAAGCTGTACTTTGCTACAGTACATTCATCTTGACTTCCAAACCGGAGGTCGTCGGTCAGGAATCAGACCCATAACATACGATCACGTTATAAGCACGAGCATTCGTTCTGTGTTAGGGTGTATTTTATCTACATCAGTATGATTATCAGCAGTCTAGATACCGTACAGGCTTTTTCTAACTTCCGAATTCGAAAAAAATCGTATCGACTTTCAAACTTTCAAGAAAAGAGAGTACTCCTTCCTAAAAGGCCGGCAACGCGTATGTGACTCCTGACTCCTGAGTTGCAGACGTTCATAGACGGCAATAGTCACTTTCCATCAGGTGACCCGTTTCATCGTCTGCCCCCTCTAACATAAAAAAATCTAATTTTTTTTGGGGGAGGCACTCAAGACATAGAAAACCCCTTTTATTGGTGTTATCGTCTATCGTCCTATTTGTTCGAGAGAAATATACGCAAAAGCCTTCGGCTTCCTATAAATGATAGGAGTATATTGCAAGGAAAGTAAACCTCCTCTTCCAGACCTTATTCCTGGTGCCCAGTTATAGGTCAATAATCACGAACCCCAATTCATCTCGTGGGTGTCGTAAGAGCCGACTAAGGGATCAAACTACGCAGTACAACAGCACTGTAAAGAGAAGGAAAAACTTGACACAAATTCTATACCAACCCGTCTGGCCAGCGTGTTATAGTAGGCCCAAACCTCCTTTCTAAGGAGAGGCCTATGTCCAGCATTGAACTATTAAAGGGTGTTGATGGTGATGATAACAATAAATGGAAAAAATTTAATAAAGATACACAAACTCAGCAACCGGTCTCATTTTTCCCAAATTCCCATCTTCCTTTCAAACAGTAGAGGTAGTAGTTAAAAAACAATATATAATTTACACATTGGCAACACATTCGCACATAAATAAGTCAAACGATATCACTTCCATCGACTTGAGTTCATAACGAGATGGTTTATTAACTACTGTTATTGACGCGTTAATAAGTTACAATACATAATTATTGTACATCTAATTCTCTGTAGATAAGAACATGCAAACAATAACGAAAAACAAGCTACGAAAGACGAACACATTATAGGTAGGAACTGAATATAAGTACGTCCTGCAGAGGCAGGGGTCAAATGAACTCCGATAATAACCATACTGGATATGTGACAACAGAAGTGTTTAATATTTAGCTTATGACGTCAGTAAGCATGAAAGGAGTTGACATTTACGTCATTTCGTTTGAAGAATGTAGTTTTTGTATATTTAGATTTTTTATACGGGACAAATAACCACACGCGTTATCTGATGGTAAGTAAGTAGGTACTGCTGCTTATAGACACCTGTAACTAGTGTTTTGCCTCATTTTGAGTGAACCTCCCCCTCCCCTTCAAATTCTGAGGCAGTCCCATACTCCCGGTTCAATCCTCTGGTAATCCTATCCTCAACTCTGTAAATATTAGACAAATAGTAAAGTAAGGCTTAGTTCTTATATTTCACAAAGAATTTGACGGTAGATTTAAAGATAACTCGTAGGAACAGTACGGCCTGTAATGACATGTCTTTAATTTTTTCATATTTTTTTTGTGTAGCGGGGGACTTTACAAACATACATGAAACGGACACATAGAACACCTAGACTCAGCACGACAATTTTTGGATTACACAAAGTGTCGTCCCATGTGGGGATCAAACATCACTCAGCGTAGTAGAAAGCCATCCGTGCAGTCTGACTGATCATCATCTTGTCTAACTGATCATGGTAGTTCTGTCTGAGTCCTCTGATTCTATCTTAATAGTTCCACAAACGTAACAACAACGTAACATTTACACCTAACGCTTAGGAAACAATCTAAAAAATAATGGTCCTTGCAGGGAACTTAATAAAGTAGTATATATTAGAATTGTTCCGTGTGGTGACGGATTAAGTTACTAAGTTACTTAGTTTGGGACTAGATGGCGTTGCGTCAACGTGGTACAATATTATTATATTATTATGTGGTTATATCGTCTGTAACTGAAAGTTAAATCGCTATTCTGCTAGTCTTAACTTCACTACGAGAATACCTTTTCTGACATTATTTAAATTCGAGTGTAGATCGGAACTGAACTTGAACGTATTTTTATTACGAGAATTGTTCCTTTATCTTCTGGTATCTGGCTATGGTAATAGCACAAGTTCTGCCCATTTTTCTGCCTAGTTATAATTATTATAAACATTATCAAAACACAAACATAGTAATACTTTATATTTATATTATATTTAGACTTCTAACGCTATTGTACGTAACTGTACATAACATTACATAAGCACCGTGAATATCTGCCCGGCTACTTTAAACAATTTATTATCACGTTGGATACCAAACAGAACAGACGTGTCGCATATTTACACAATATGTACAAAATATTACAATTATTAGTGTCTTTATTCGCTTTTGTGGTTTGTGCCAAGTACAGCTATACAGTCAATAAGTTCCAAGTACCGCTGGATCATTTTGGATTCCAGAGAAATGAAACTTTTTCAATCAGATATTTGGTGAACGACGATAACTGGGATCAAGGGAATGGACCCATCTTTTTTTACACTGGTAATGAGGTCAGTGAAATTTTCTATTATTTAACTTTTGCGATGTGTATACATAAGTTTGTGTTATTTCTTTGATAACGCAAAGAAAATGGATAATACTCTGTGTGGCTAAGTTATATCATCAATAAGCACAATAATATTTTTTCCCCGTTTTGGCGACATTTTTTATTGCCGATTTAGCATAAATCCATGCATATCCATGCATAAATCCGCATAAATCCAGGCCACTGGTAATAGCGTAATATTATATAGTCTTACTTGATAAGTGGACTATCTAACACTAAAATAATTATTCAATTTGAACCAGTAATTCCTGAGATTAGCGCGTTCAACCAAACAAAAAACTCTCCTGATAATATTAAATTGTACCTACGAGACTTTGTTTATTGTAACTGTCAATAGTTGACTCACGGTCTGTGACATATGTCAGATATAATTATAATAAACAGAGCATATGTCAAATAATTATTTGACATATGCTCCGTTTATCATTAATTAATTGGTACAATTCTAATCATACATAGTAAGAAAAACGTCACAATATATTATAAACATATTTAGGGTATCATATCTTCGAAAATATTCCGGTCTAAAACAATAAGTATGACCACGTGTCTGCTTTACGTTCCCAGCTGCAATGGCTCCCAATTCGTCAGCGCCGCAGTTTACGAACACTGACTTTTCTCTTTTCTTTCCTCAACTCTCCATCGTTACCTGAGTACCTCGTACCCCACTTCCGTTTCCTATGCTCCAATCACGATCGAAATCTTCGATCAACCATATCAATATGCTTCTTCTATGCCCCCCTCACACCTCCAATTTCATCAACTCCTCCTTCTACGTCCAGTCAGTTCATTTGTGGAATGCCCTGCCTGCCGAAATCAGGATGTCCAAAAACCGCCTTGCATTCAAGAGAAAAGTACGCGATCTTCTTCGGGGTGAATTGGCAGAACAGTTACAACGATAGTACCCGACTGAGTATTTATATATTTTATTAAATTTATGTAGGTTTATGTATGTGTGTTTATATATTGTGTATGTTTCTGGACCTAAATTATGTTAAATTTAATATTTTATTTTGCACAACAATAACAAATACAACAAGTGCATTAAGTTTAAAATAAATAAATAAATATAGTATAGAGCCGACAAATTATTTTCTTATTTCGTGTTTCTAACTTTGAAAATGATGAACTTGAAACTTATACACAACCGGTCATCTCTTAATTTACCCCCTAAGGAGTGAAATTTCCAAAAAATCTTCCTTAGTGATGCTTTGTAGCCCCAGAGGTTTAGGCTCTACGTTGATAAATCAGTAGGAGCAAGAAATTTTATATGTATAGCAAAACTTTTGATCGTAAATCGTGAAAGTAGGTGAGAATGTTGTCCGTGTGGTGACGGATTAAGAATACAGAGTGTCACCACCCCTATTCATCCTGTGGGTATCGTAAGAGCCGACTAAGGGAGCAAACTACGCAGGACATTAGCACTGCAAAGAGAATCAAAACTTGAAACAACCAACCCGTCCGGCCAGCGCGGTATAGTAGGCCAAAACCTCTTTTCCAAGGAGAGGCCTATGTCCAACAGAGAACTATTAAAGCCTGTCGATCTGTGATATGAGGTGAGAATGAAAAGTAATGATAGGAAGGGGATATATCTTATACGAATACTTGAGCGGTCCTATTAGGGTGGATTGGGGTGTGTTAGCGATATATCGAACAAGATAGGGTCGCATACCTGTAGCACGAAGTGACTGTTGCCGGCGCCGAGCTCTCTACCCTTATAGTTGATTCTAATAGTTATAATAAGTGTAAATGTTCGTGTGGTGACGGATTAAGAACACGGAGTGTCACCACCTCCATTAGGCCGGTGGGTGTCGTAACAACCGACCTAGAGAGTAAACTACGCAGAACAATAGCACTGCAAAGAGAAACAAGTCTTGAAAGATACCCTATACCAAACCCGTTTGGCCAGCAATGTATATAGGCCCATGTAGGCCAAAACCTTCTTTCTAAGGAGAGGCTTATGTGCAGCAGGTGACTGTTAAAGGCTGTTGATGATGATGGTCTTTATGTACTTATCATGGAAAGCCTTTTTTAACCGTCTTAAAGACCTTTACTTAGGCTCATTACATTTAAAGTAAAAATACTACTGTGAGTGGAGTTAAGAATACTGTTTATGACGAATTAAAGTTTGTAATACTTTTTGAAAAGTTAATTGTTTTTACATGTTTATGTATTTATGCATAAAAGATAAACTATACCGGTCAGTGACTTTATAACTGGACTTCGAACGTGCGCAATCAAATTCTGAACAATGCTAATTGGTCCCAGGTCTCGACAAACCAACACTAATGACTCTTTGTTAAAGAATAATTCATCATTAGCCACTACTCTTTGATGCAGCCATCACAGTAAGCAAGTATATGTAATTTCATTTGCGTATAACTGTACTTTACCTAATAAATATTATTACATGCTTTTTACACGCTTTATATTAGCTTCACTTGTATGTTTGTATGTTTCTTTGTATGTTTGTTTGTAACCGACTCCTTTGGGCGTGATTTTGACTGACTTTAAACGGTCAGAATTCGTTCAAACTTTGTAGATATATCGAGAACCGATGACAATACACTAATTTAAAAAAAATGAAAAAAAAGCGTGGGGTGCTTTTTACTATTGACAACAGGCACCCAACGCTTTTTTTCAAATGTATTATAAATTAGTATCTATTTTTTAGTTTGGTTTTCTATAAAAAGCGTGTTTTTTAAAACTGTTATTTTTTAGATATACTTGTAAATCATCATTTCTATTGCTAAGCATATGGAGACTTCCACTTACAACGAAAAACATATTTTAGCACCATCTACCACCATAACTAAGAAGTAACTCCGACTTCTCATTCTATTACCTTCTAACTTGTGTTAACTTCTAAAACGATCCAGGACATGATTTTGTAATGAGCATGATCATTTGTTCTGTGTGTGGGCGTAATTTATCCATAATATTGTGGCGACTCCCACATACAAAGAAACAGAAACATACTACAGCGCCATCTAATGAAGACACACCGAACTACGGAGTAACTACTAAAAATAAGAATTGCTAATACTGTATCGCGATATAAATAATTCCCTCGCCGATTAGCAGATATACTACTTCCCAACATCATGCCTGGCGGGCCGCGGCCCAACGGTGTGTCTTCATTATTTAGAAATATTTAAGTATGTTTATCAGCAGTTTGGTTACCATAGCACACTCGGCTCCGCATACTTTGGGATTAGACAGCCGTGTGTGAGATGTCTTCTTCCTCCGAGCCTTTTTTGCCGAACTATCTTGGTGTGGGCTTTAAGTCTTAAGATTTTTTCCGTGGAGCGACTGCCATCACACCTCCATAACCCAAGTACTAGGCGATATCGAATTATCTGTAGATGGATTGTTGTTGGACGTTTTAGGGCTCCAACTTCCCATAACGGTTGCCACAGATGTTCAATGCCCAAGTTGGTGGGAGCAGCGCGAGCATTGGCGCGGCTGCTGCTAAACATGAGGGAACCCGATGACTCCTGAAGGAGATTCTAATCAGGGGTTGTATGGGCGGAGGCCGTAAAGTCGCTCGACTGCGACGACCGCAGCGAGTGCTGGCTATCAGGATCATAAAAGGGTAGCGAACTATCTCCTTTGAGGCGGCGAGTCTCCTGGCCGGAACTCCTCGGGGACCTGGAAGCGAGAGCCCTTGCGGCTCTGTATCAGTGGCGCAAGAAGGCGCGGGAGAGCGAGAGTGCGTGGCACTACGCCGTCTCCTTCTGCGAGCAAGTTATGCTTGCAAAGGAGATGGCGGAGCGAGAGCAGGAGAGATTTAGAACGACTAAGGTGCCGGTGATTGCAGAACGACTTTCATCCTCCATAAGTGCAGGCCTGGGGGTGGTAGGTGAGGTCATCTGTCACTCGAGTAGAGGCAAGCCAGGGTGGTGGTGAGAGGCACTGCAGAGCGCGCGTGCCCTTTCGGGAGCACAAAGGGGGCATAGGGGTTCCCACACAGGATTGAGTCATCTACAGGCCGTAGATGGCCCAAGGTACATCGGGGTGCAACTGGTGCCCGAGACGGCGTGCGGTTTTTAGTCGGCTCGAGTCCGACATAACAACCTAACAGTGGGTGTTATCCGAGGGGATTTACGCACAGAAAAAAAAAGGGGGATAATGGTGACCTACAAAGAATTTTCTACACATATTAATATATAGATGATTGTTAATATGTAATTATTTTACTAAGTAAAGGAATTAAACTGATTAAGTAGTCTTTGTTTACATACCCAGTTTATACATGATCAGAATCGCTATCAGTAAGTTCAAATAGGAGTTTGATCTTTTTTACTTCGATTCGTACGTTCAGTTGTCATTTGTTAGTAAGATAAAAGAATTCATAACTTTAATAATAATAATAATATTCTACCACATTCACAAAACGCCATCTAGTCCCAAACTAAGCAGAGCTTGTACTATGGCTACTAGACAACTGATATAAATACAAATATACTTTTTTTTGTAAATACAGATATATTATACATAGAAACACCCAGACCAAATCAAACATTAAATGTTCATGCACACAAATGTTTGACTTGAGTGGGAATAGAACCCGCGACCTTTGGAATAGCAGTCCGTTACACAAACCAATACGCCATCCGGTCGACTTTATGTGGTGACTTTTAGTATGAGAAATTTAACCAATATACGCTGAACTGAATCGAATTATAGTCGAGACTCGAATAACCGGACTAATTTTTATCGTACTTACGGATAAATCAAAATCCGGATAATTGCATTTAGAAAGCCGATTTTTGTAATTTTTAGTTGTAAATAGATAACTTTCCACGTCAGCTTATGCGGGTTTATTTAAACTTAAAAACTAAAATCATGTGTTTATTAAGATATGTGTTTAAGAAACGAAAATATGTGTTTGAAATTACATTTATTGTAATTAACTTTATTAAAATTACTAATTAGTACGTATAATGTATTGTAATGTATAGGTCTTCATTTGATTATGGTAATGTTCATGTTATGTAAATAATCTTAATTAATTGTGTTTTTTATTGTTTCAGGGTCAAATAGAAGTGTTTGCCAACCACACAGGGTTCATGTGGGAAATAGCAGCCCAGTTCAAAGCCAAGATTGTATTCGCTGAACACAGGTTGGTACACTTACCACTTTAAAACTATAATAAAAAATAAACAACATGTCATATCTCCAGCCCCGGATTTACGATTTTTTCGAACCGGGGCATTCCCCCGCCCAATAAGATCCGGGGCTGCACATCTCACACACGGCCGTCTGATCCCAAACTAAGCAGAGCCCTTACTGTTATAACCTGGGTGCTGATAAACATACTTATATCATGGTGGATGGTTTCCTAGGCCAATGGCCAATTCCTGGGTATAGGGAGACAAACAAGCAGACGGGTAAGTAACTACCACCGCCCATAAACACACTCAAAAGTCACAAGAGCGTTGCCGCCCTTTGAGCGAAGTCATCATTATCATCAACAGCCTTTAATAGTTCACTGCTGGACATAGGGCTCTCCTCAGATAGGAGGTTCTGGCCTATTATACCACGCTGGCCAGACGGGTTGGTATAGGATTTGTTTCAAGTTTTCCTTCATTCCGTATTCTGAATCCGTTCATTAAAAAGTGACGTGTAAATTAAAATGCAAGAAAAAAAACTTTTCTTTTTGTATGTAGATACTATGGTGAATCAATGCCGTTCAAAGAGAAATCATTGAAGAATGAAAATATCGGTTATTTATCATCTGCGCAAGCAATGGCGGATTACGCTGACCTGATCAATTACCTGCAAGAGAATCGTATCAAGCCCAGGTATCCGGTCATCGCTTTTGGAGGTAAGGAAATAGAAACAATTAGAATCTAAACTTTCAGAACAATTATTATTATTAAAAAATTCGTTGAGATATATATACACACACTCATACATACATACACATAACTTCACATAAGCCCGGCAACGCACTCGTGACTGTAGAGTCGCAGTTATCCATCAATGGCGATAGAGCAACCTTCTGATTTGACTCCTATGTTATAAAAAGATTGGTATTTGTAATCAGTATAGCAACATAACTGTTGAATTACTTCGGCACATTTGAAATAATCAATGATAACGTCTGAATAGATTCTTTGCATATTTAATATCTTTACCTATGTCGTTGCCTAACGAAAGGTATATGTTTTTTATGTCAGGAGAGGTGTAAATATTAACATCGGAAAGAATAGCTGACGATTTTAAAGCTATGATCTATCCTTGCCTGTCTGTCTGTCTGCCTGTAATAACGTTAATATACATTCTGGTTACATGTCTACCAACGCCAATATTATTTTAGTGAGTTAAAAATAACCTTCATTAAATGCCGACACAGAACAATTAAAAGAGGAATCTCCTTTAATTGTTCTGTTAATTCCGACCAGATAACGAATGCTAATACCAAAGTCTTTTCAGGATCGTACGGTGGCATGCTAGCAGCATACATGCGTTTAAAGTACCCCCACATTGTCAACGGGGCTATCGCCGCGTCAGCACCAGTTCACATGTTTACCGGCATGACCAACTGTAACATCTTCAATCGTCTCGCCACATCCAGCTTCAAGAATGTCAACATAAACTGTTCAAGCAACATCAGGGATTCGTGGAGTGTTATAAGGTACATATGGAAACAAATCATGGGCCTGGCTGCTCTCTTTATATTTACTCGTGTGGTAACTACCACGGATCGTTTCCCTGCTACCAAATTTTACGATGAAACTCAGTCTTCTGGGATAAAAAGGCTTGGCGATGACTTGGATAAAACTTTAAAAAGGAATTCTCGGAGAACTATGGCACGTTCAAAATATGCTTGTCGTGCCGCCGTCTCAGTACGTGGGCCACTCAAAGATCACAACTTACAATAAACAGAAATAGAATTGTTACAAAAAGTTCACAAGTTCTTTCTAAAATATCAAGTAGCGAAACATACTTTTTGAATCATCCTATTATTTTAAATCACCCATGCATTAAACAGAGAAGATCAGTGATAAGATGCCATAGCTTTTAAAATCTTTTTTGTATCCCACACTTCTTTCTTTATAGCCCAGTCCGCTAAAAATAGTGATGCTGTTTCTATTTCAGAAACTATTCCTCGAATGCGAATGGTTCGGAGTGGCTACACAGTAACTGGAAGTTGTGCAGTCCTCTCAAGAACTCAACAGATGTGGCTTCTCTACTGGATTTCCTCAATTCTATGTATAGCACTTTGGCAATGGTGAACTATCCGTATGCTTCGGATTTCCTGATGCCGCTGCCGGCTGAGCCCGTTAGATATGTCTGCCAGTATTTAGAACAAAAACTGGCTGGAGAGGAACTCTTAAAGGTTGTGCTTATTAGTATTATAATTATTTAGAGGACGTGAAGTATACGGCCTCTTAATTGAAAAAAAGGATTTACCTTCCACTTCAATTTTTTCGGAATAGGGGCAAACGGGCAGACGGGTCACCACACAATAAGTGACAATAATAAGTGACTCACAATTGCGTTGTCGCTTCTTAAGTGGCCTTCCCAGAATTAGGGGGATGGGAGGGCTGGTTGGACCTTGGACCTACTGTTGTCGCACACACTGGTTAAAAAGCTACGATAGAACTATTTAACTCCAGTTTTTTGTAAGACCGTAATATTACTCCGGACGGGCATGTGCAGAAGCATGAATTTCGCATGATGGTTTTATGATAATTAGCTGGAAGCCTAAAAATCTTTAGTCTGCGTTAGAATAATGACTGTCAAATACTTACTGATGTAATAAAAGTGTTACAGGCTATTGGAAATGTGTTAGAAGTATATACAAATTATGATAAAAGGAGCAAATGCACTGACTACAAGCAAGGAGACAACTATGGCAATTTAGACGCAGCCGGCTGGGACTACCAAGTAAGTTTCTCTATCGCATATATCATGGAGAGTACTCCGACTAATACCAGCCGCAAATTTCCGCCATCGTGTCACACTTCAAATTTTTCATCCTCATTACCTGGATCTAGACACTTTTTGCCCCGCACAACCAATCTGTGGAACGGGTTATCGTCTGCGGTATTTCCGGACCGATACGACCTTCAAACCTTCAAGAAAAGAGCGTACTCCTTCCTAAAAGGCCGGCAACGCGTTTGTGATTCCTGAGTTGCAGACGTTCATGGGCGGCGATAGTCACTTTCCATCAGATAGTCACCTGATGGAAAGTGACTATCGCCGCGTCTGCTGGTCTGCCGCCTCTAATATAAAAAAAGTCTGAATTTTAACTAAGCTTAAAGAAATAAATACATGAACGCTCTTTTGTGTTTGAACAATACCTACCTTAATTTTATATAGTTGTATAAAGTTGAAGTTGTCTAACTGACATTGGTGCTAATTCTGTTGTTTGAAAACTCTCTAAACTAAACTAAAAATCAGTAAACTTTGCTTAGTCCTGTCAACTACTACGTTTTCAGAATACGAAACGTTGTTTGGGTAGGACTTAACCATTTTTTTGTTATTTTTAGTTTAGTTTAGGGAGTTTTCGAACAATAGAGTTATCACCATTGCCAAAGGTTTTGGCTGATTTCTCTTATGATCGGCCACGAGCATCCTGATAACTCTAGTCGGGTAAGGAGAATAGATAGCGCTACTATCAGATGAACCAAAGCCACTAGGATATGGACATCATTCCTAGTTTGATGTTTTAGTACCTACATGCCATGAATCATCTACCGTTCCTATCAACGTAAAAAAACCTCCTTTTACCTGCAGGCTTGTACAGAGATGGTGATGCCTATGTGTTCAAACGGCAACACCGACATGTTCGAGCCAATGCCATGGAACTACACACTGTTTGCTGAAGACTGTCACAAGAAATACAATGTCTACCCACGACCAGAGATGGCGAGGATTGAATATGGCGGGGATAGGCTTCAAGCGGCCTCCAACATCGTTTTCAGTAATGGAATGAAGGATCCTTGGACTGGAGGTAAAAATATAAACTGCTCGCATTTTCTTGGTTCCATGTCAGTCAAGTTCTAATGCAGGAATATCAGACCATACGGTCGTGCGTTCTCATCTGATCATAGTGGTGTTGTGATAGTATCGTTGAGATATTTTATGCTTTTGACGTAATCTCAGGATCTCTACGTATCTATACTTAATTATAGCGTGATTGCAAATTTAACTGTAACCTAGATTTATCTGTGGCTCTACTATACTAATTCTAATATAAAACTATACCAATGTACAACTTCAACTTCAACTTTTGGTTAATGGCTTTGTGGTGAATGTAACCACAATTTCACCAATGTCATGTATTTGAAAGACAAACTGTCAAAGGATTTTATGTAGAGCTGTGCTAGAGCCTAAAAAAAATTTATAAGACCAATTTACTATAACTGCCCGTTTTCAACAGGTGGCATTCTTGATAGCCTCAGTGACACAATTTACGCAGAAGTCATACCGGATGCAGCGCACCACTTGGACCTTATGCCCAGCAACCCTAACGACCCTGAACCTGTAAAGATGACCCGTGAAATGCACAAAGAACATATCACTAGGTGGATTAACCAATTTCAAGAACAGCAAAGTAGTATTCGACATCCTCACAATCATATGTAGAAATAAATTATAAGTTATTTGTGTTTGGTTTTATTCATTCAATACTGTAACTTGATCTGTATTAAACGATTTTACAACCATAACTAATGAATTGGTGATTATGTTATTACGAAATTATGACATGCTTTATGTATAAAATTGACACGATTAAACTTAAACTATCACTTTAACAGTAACATCAATGGGAAAAAATGCGAACATACCTAGACGCTTTCCCGAGATAAAGGATCTCAACACATAAATATGCAGACAGACAGACAACAAAGTGATCATCTAAGGGTGCCGTATTTTTCTTTTGAGGTACCGACTAAATAGCAATGTGCATAATATGGACAACGTTTTAATACATTTTCCATTTTACGTTTACATAACATGGGTTTTCTTTTTCTCTCACGAGTGATTTACAGTTTAAGGTTTATTATATTTTATATTAAATATTGCACATCATTTTTTTTCTATGCTATTATTATGCTACATCTATAAATGTCTGTTCTAAGGTTTCAACACACACATATATATATATATATACATGAATAAGAAATTAAATAAACATTGACAATTGACAAGTTCTAAACTTCAAACTGTCAATTCTATCAGATTTTGAGGTTACGCCATGGAGGCCGATAGCGATGTTTGTTTACAAGAATCTATTATTGGTGCAATGTCGACTACATGTAAATATTGTAACGAAGCAGAGAACAAACAAGACAGACCGGGTTTGATATGTGATAGCTGTATCTGTTTCGTACACTTGACGTGTCTCCGTCGACCTGGAACACCCGGTGATTTCGCTTGCGATGTTTTCTTCGATTTCACTTGCGAAGACTGCTCTCCAGATAAAATGGAAACTTTTACAAGAAATAGATTTCCTTGGTAAGTTAGGAAAAACTCTTTCCAAGTTATACCTGTCATAGAATGTATATGATACATATGTTTACAAAATAAACAATGTACGATGTTTGTGATGTCAATAAAACTGAAGTGTTTAAGCCTACACACCCAACGTACCGTTACCGTATGGATACCTTAAACCGTGTTGTGACGGGTTAGGAACAGGAGTGTCACCACCCCTATTCATTCCGTGGGTGTCATGAGAGTCACTGAAAAGAGAAGGAAAACTTAAAACAAACCCTAGACCAACCTGTCAGGCCAGTATAGTAGGCACAAACCTTCTTCCTAAGGAAAGATCTTTGTCCAACAGTGAACTATTAAAGGCTGCTGGTGATGATGATGATATACCCAAACTAGATAATGGTCGTGGCTCTACTCGCGTGATTATCATTTGTTTCATGTTCATCGGTAACTGCGTAAATTTTAATTTACAAAAATCCTTTCTTAGGTTACTCACAATATAAAAAGCATCATCTGCTAACATTACAAGTTAGTAGCCCCGGCCGCGGTGCGTTGATGATACAGTCATGGAAAGTAATTTGATATATATAGATTATTTGTCTATTTAAATTTTAATTATTAATTAATTCTTAATAAATTAAAATTTAATTAAATTAATTATTAATAAATTAAATTAATTATTAATAAATTAAATTAATTATTAATAAATTAAATTAATTATTAATAAATCAAATTAATTATTAATAAATTAAATAAATTATTAATAAATTAAATTATTAATTAATTCCTAATACAATATTTGCTAAGCAGTCGGAATTTAATAATCATTAATAAAAATGGAATGAAAACAAACCAAAAACCAGTGTTTTGTAATTAAAGTTCATTTTTCATTTGAGTTTTAATTAATGTCTATAATGTGCTCTATATTTAACAATATCTACGATGTTTACAATACATTATTATGTAGAATGAAATGTGTGCAAGTATCTAAGTATCTTTATCTGTTTATGGCCAGTGTTTGTCCTATGTCATGTCCACCAACACTCTCTTTCCAAACACTCTCACCAGGAGTGAGAGTGTTTGGAAAGAGAGTGTGACCACTAGGTCTTTCCAATCACTGTCACTTCCAGTGTCCATCTAAGACTGGTATGAGCTGCTACCTCTGTGAAACAGTGGTAGTTTATGCGACTGCTGTGTTAAGGCCTCAGGTTCGATGTCCGGGTCGTACCAAATAGTTGTATGATCTACAAATATTTGTTTCAGAGTTTGGGTGTTTTCTATGTATAATATGTATGTGTTTACAAAAAAAAGTATATTAAAAGTATTCTATCAATCAATCTAGCTTTCATAGTACAAGCTGTGCTTAGTTTGAAACTAGATGGTGTTGTGTGTCAGATGTCTGAAATATTCACATCACACAGCAACAGCCTCTAACAGTCCACGGCTGGACATAGGCCTCTCCTTAGAAATGAGGTTTTGGCCTACTATACCATGCTGGCCAGACGGGTTGGTACAGGGTTTGTTTCAAGTTTTCCTTCTCTTTGCAGTTCTGCGTAGTTTACTCCCACAGTCGGCTCTTACGACACCCACAGGATGAATAGGGGTGGTGACACCGTATTCCGTTTCATAATCCGTCACCACACGGACTGAAATATTATATATTATTATATTTCTACCACTAAGACCCTGACCTACACTATTTTCCATACCTAAATTAACCTTCTTCCTTTATCCTGTCTAAACATGATCACATTCCCAAATTTGATTGGTGTTAAGCTGGCAGCTTGCCATATAAAACTTTGCCAAGAACCACAAATAAAATTTGTATTGAGCAAACTGCTAACAACCATAAAAAAAATAGATTTTTGCAACCACAAATAAAATTATGAGTGAGGCAGGATTTTTTTCTAGGTCTTGATGTAGTGCAAGTGAATAATTATGTCCCAAATTATTATTATTTAAGTTATTAAATCTTTACTGTTCTTTGCAGGGTTAACGTAATCCATCTGACACTGCATCATTTGAACATGCAGTCATATGGTATCAGCAACCATGGCTACTTCCACTACAAGACCCACATTTGTGCATTTATTGACAGACATTGGCAATCACTGTTTGGTTCACAAGCGTAAGTAAATAACCTTTTAAATAAGAAATATAAAGTTTATACTAACTGAACCACCTAGACATGGAAATTATTGTTACTTTTAAATCATATTTCACATCTTCACTCCACTCACAGAGAGGACAAATAATACTATTTCTTGAGCTTCGATTTGCAGTGATATTTGTATAGTAATCTAATATTAGTGTTTATTTATTATTTTTTAAAACTAGTGTAAAATTTTTGTTAAAATAAATGGTATAGGTATAGTTAGGTGATGTAATCAGGGAAAAGCGCTGATGTCTGGGATACAGATTTCTTATCTAGTCCAGGCACAGATGCCCCAATTTAAATGTATTATGTACCCACAGTAATATTTGTAAAACCATGTACTGTGCAAAAACACTGTTTATGAAATAAATTATTATTATTATTATTCATTTGATGAAATGATTGGTTTTAGTCACAGCAACTTCAGATGTGATTGTGATAAATAAATGCAATCAATCTTGCGCTAGCGTAATAACAATAATAAGTGACAGTGGTTTCGTAAGTCAGTCACAGGCGTGATTGTATGATTTTCAAATCATATGTCTTATCACATGTGATTGTGATTTTATTCCATTCCTAGAAGCAAGTATACTAACAGGACTAACAACAGCTAGTGTAAACCGATTCTATACTATTATAGTTTTCTGGAACTTCACACACAAACTTGTGTTGGTGTAAATATCTGCAAACTATAACCTACAAACAACTTTACGTTACCAATGGTGTCGAAGAGTGACCTCTGCGAGACGAGGTCCTTAGCTCTGTTATTGCAACGCCTTGACAATTCATCAGCACATGTCTTTATTTTGTTAAAAAGGCAAAGTATTAGGAAATTATCCTGTATCGCGGGGCTTTACAAACATATATGAAACGGACACAAAGAACACCCAGACTCAGAACAACAATTTGTGGATTACACAAAGTATCGTCCCATGTGGGGATCGAACCCGCAACACTCAGCTCAGTAGGAAGCGGCGTGGCAACCGCTTAAACCACTACGCCCTCCGTATATTCCTTTTAAAAAACAAAACAATAGGGATTGTATATGAAAATACACAAAAGTTTATTTCAGATACAATTGGTGGTCTTCTCGGTAATTGCGGTAATTTTTCCAGACAACTTTAGTCAGCACACCTGATGTCACCAAGAGGCAAGCTTACATCCTCTCGTGATAATAATGAGTATTTTTTAATATTACAGAAAACAGAAAAAGAACTGGGTGGGTACAATAGCAGGTGCCCTATCAGTTTACAACAAGCTGTTTTTCAAATCAGGATCTGTGGTGCTTGGGGAGACTGGCTGGTGGAAACTGCTGCATAATTTCTCACCCGCTGTAGCTGCGCATATCAGTAAGTGCTTTTTTTATTATAAAGCCTTCCCAATTCGAAAGTATTATTGTTTGTTTGTCACTTTTAGTAAGGTTTAGAATATTCTAAATAGTCATATCATAAGAGTGTGTGATATATTTCAGTTCAAGAAATAGCGCGTGACAAGCCAAAGGTGCGCCCGCGCAACCAAATGTCGATTGATAAGAATCTTTTCCTCATGAAAGTTACTGAAATGGGTGAGTAATAAATACTTAAAATTAGAAGAAAAATTCTAAGTGTCCCTTTTTAAACAAATATGTATATAAAATTAATATTGCAGGCTACAAAGATCTAATAAACAACGAAGGCAGTCCTCCAAGAGTGCTGCCCTCTCCTTATGAACCAGTACCATGTAAAAAGAAGAGAGTAGACTCTGATGAGCTCAGCGGTATATCCAGTACCTCTTATTATGATCACCTGGATTCTGACAGCAGGTATACAAAGTTTTTGAACAAAAAAATACTTTATTTTGGATATGATTTGGACTTCAAACTGAATTCAATTAATGTTCTTTGTGTTATCTTCATATCATAATAATAACTTGACACATTTCATAACCAGAAGGCCATTTACCGTAATAATAGTTCGGTCACAATTCAGTGCCGGTCAACTTTCGATCTCAGAACTGTCATAAAAATCGGTTGTCTGTAAAGTCGCTTTACTGACGATAGTTGCACGTGACAACGTCATAAGAAAATACTAATGGAATGGTTGCATTTTTCAAAAGAAAATTTTAATTTTATTTGTTAGTTATATAGATGTCGAACGCTGCCGAACGCGGAGGCCGATTGTGCCTCTTTGTCACTCGTTCCGCGCTCTCGCTTGCACTTCAAGTCTTAAATGGAACGCCTCAGAGCGAGGTAACGCCGCATGAGTCATGTTTTTTCGTGCGTGCAGCCGGCTCCATCGAATTATAAGACGTTGTCACGTCAAAAAGTATTTTCGTAGTTAAGTTACTAGGACTAGCAGATTACTGATTTAATAGTTCGTTTATTTATTTATTTATTTATTATTTATTTATTTATTTACAATAAGGTTGTCAATAGATATAATTTCAAACAGGATACATACATACGGGACGCTAAACTGAAAATCAGTAAAATCATGAGCTGTCTTAACCATAAAGAAACCGAACAATTGCTAAAAATCTTAAAATAAGAATGAAAACTGACAGACAGACGAATACACATACTTAGACATGTACACACAAACACACACACAGGCTCACAAACTATCACACACACTCACATAGCTCCAAGTTGAACTTTGTAGTAAAAAGATTGTAGTAAACTGCGATCTCTTCCTATTGTTTCATTTGAGATTTATATAAGATTCTAATATTATTGCTACTGTCCTAATGTATAATCGTTTTTGTATTGATAGCCTCCATACAGGCTAAGCCTAGTGTGGCTATCATTGTTAAACAAATTTTGTAAATCTTTACTTTAAATAAAAAATATTATTATTATTAATTTTCGTTTACAATACAATATAATCACATTACTGGATGTTTAATACTTTACTACGAAAATATCTTTTATGACAATTGTGAGATCGAAAGTTGATCGGAACTGAATTGAGACTGAACATACTTATATATTACTAAATACTTAATCATCATCATCTGCCTACCCTTTTCCCAATTTTATTTGGGGTCGGCGCAGTATGTATGATTTTTCCATTCTACTCTGTCATGCGTCATCTCACTGTTTACTCCTTTCCTAGCCATATCCTCCCTCACGCAGTCCATCCACCTTTTCTTCGGTCTGCCTCTTCTCTTGTATCCTTCAACTCCCATACCTAAAATTTCTTCGCCACATTTTCCTCATCACTCCGCATGACATGTCCATACCAAGATAACCTAAAAACTAACTACTAAGTACTTAATATTATAGATAAATTACACCCAAACACAGAACAAATGATTGTGCTCAGCATACAATTATTTGTCCTGGGTGGGAATCAAACCCACGACCTCTGGCTTAGCAGTTGGGGTTACTTATCTTTAGACCAGCAGGCCATTCGAAGTCATGTTGACACAATGTAAGTGTTCAATACCTCTGCTTACTCCTTCAGAAATACTGTCATTATATAAGTACAACAAGTCCGTGTGGTGACGGATTAAGAATACGGAATGTCACCACCCCTATTCATCCTGTGGGTGTTGTAAGAGCCGACTAAGGGAGCAAACTACGCAGGACAACAGCACTGCAGAGAGAAGGAAAACTTGACACAAACCCTATACCAACCCGTCTGGCCAGCGTGGTATAGTAGGCCAAAACCATATATATATAGGTATATATATATATATATATATGTATTGTGGTTGTCACTGCTATATTCTCTCATATTATGCTAATGATATTAATTAACTAATTAATTAGAGCTTCATAATTAAAGATAATTTTGTTTGAAGGAACGAGATAGGTGATGAAAGTACCTTCGAGGAGTCCCTCGGCTTGCTCACGCCTAAGGACTGCACATATTCTTGGAACACACACATGGAGTTCAGGGGGTTTGAATTCACGGCCACCCAGCACGTCCCGCCTGTCCAAGTAAATATACCTCACATATGTCACAATATTATATTACATTTTACAACAATTATTACAATTTATTACATAATATATTTCGTAACTATAATTATTAACGACTATCATTTCGTTTCGGCTTCTCTAGCGTTTATATTTTTTTATTATTAAATAGGTTATATACGAAAGCAGTTTTTTTTTTGCGGATATTGATCAGAACCGTGGGAGAGCCATGATTCATCACAAATGTGGTGGCTCAACCGGAGTGATACCACCGTATCACAGAAAACCGGTGTTAAACCATTTTCATCTGTTAGTTAGGTTACGGGAGCACAAGCTCCCCCCCCCCCCCCTGATTTGTAGGGTATTTGTATTTGTAGGGTATTTCTAGGGTATTTGTAACAATTTGCCATCAAGTGTCTACTTGTTTGATTACCTATACTTTAACTAAGTTGGGACCGACGGCCAATTCTTGTAATAAAAGTTCGGTCTCAATTCAGTTTCGATCAACTTTTGATCTCACAACTGTAAAATAGTAAAGTATTACTAAGACTACCAGATTACCGATTCAATTTTCGTTTACAATACGATATAATCACATTACTGTCAACGTTGAATGTTTAATAGTTTACTACGAAAATACCTTTTATGACAGGTGTGAGATCAAATGTTGATTGGAACTCGAAGCTCATGGGTTTATGTTATAGTTAAACCGCCGTAAGCTTGGCCCTCCTGATGGTTTGCGGGACGCGGGGCGGGTGATACGCTCGGCTATACATGACACGATGTACTAACTCGATATCTTCAGATTTATTTGTTTGAGATTTAATCTACACAAGATGTGATAAAAATCGAATTTATTTCCATGTATTATAATGTCAGTGTATTGTAAGTTTTTATGATTAATTGTAAAATTTAATACTGTAAAATAATTTTAAAAAAATCACCTTATCTTCATCATGTAAATGGTTGAATGCACCCCCGCCCCGCGTCCCCCAAACCATCAGGAGGGCCAAGCTTACGGCGGTTTAACTATAGGATAACGCTGTGTACCATGTCCCACTAAAATATTATTATTATATTTATTACAGAGTGACTCATCAAGCATCAATTCTTTCCAACAATCTATGTTATATTACGATTCAGACTCCAGAAGCGGTCACGAGACCGACCAGGAACCTCGGAAGACCTTCGAACCCAAACCCAAGAAACAAACAACGGAAGACAAGCCAATTAGAAGGGAATCTCTTTTCTCCTCTGAACTAAATTCCGTGGATCTTCCCTGGGAAGACCCACCGCCAAAACCAGATAGCAGTATAGTGGAGATGTCGCAGTATGAAGAGATTCAGCTGCTGAAGAAGGTGGAGAATCTTATACCGAAGGTGAAGGAACCGAATAAGAAGGCTTACTTGCAAAGGTTGAAGGCGAAATTGGCTTTGAGAAGGCTTAAAAGGCATAAACACTTGCCGATATTTGATTTAGACAAGTAAGTATGTTTGAGGACCTAGATTCTGCTGAATTTTCGTTTTGTTTTTTTTTTATGTTAGAGGGGGCAGACGGGTCACCTGATGGAATGTGACCATCGCCGCCCATGAACGTCTGCTACTCAGGAGTCACAAACGTTGCCAGCCGTTTAGGAAGAAGTACGCTCTTTTTTTGAAGTGAAACTTTTTTTGAATCTCTGTGATTTGAAACTCGATGAAACGAAAATGCGTCACGATAAAGAAACAAACTCATAAATGTATTGTATTAAGTCGGCGAGAGAATGAGATAGAATACATTACACATTATTTTTAATATAATATTTTGACAGTGTGAATATTTTTATCTTTTTATTTAACACTAGCTGGTACCTTGAAATTCGTTCGCGTGGAATTTGAAAATACGTTGCTTTAGTGCGATCGATCTCCGGCCTTGGCAAAATGTTATGGGGTTTTTCTGCCGTGCCGTTTACTTTTACTTCTGCCGTGTATGATTTTTGGAACGAAGTTCCTTATCGCGCGTTGTGAAAGGGGGCTAGACGGAAAAAATTCGTACGAAAATTTGGAACGACACTTTTTTATTAATATAAATTGACGTACGAATTGACGTCTAACTGTGGATAACATACATTAAATTTGCTTTAACGTTCGCCGACGTCCATACCATGTTGAATACACCGGTTCTCGTCCGATCACCGAAGTTAAGCAACATCGGGCGTGGTTAGTACTTGGATGGGTGACCGCCTGGGAATACCACGTGATGTTGGCTTTTTGCTCTTTATTTTCGTGTCATCTTGTCAGACATTCAGCGCCATCTATCGAATAGATAGGAAATCATTTCGCAAGGAGATTTTACCAATGTATAAATTGTTTTAATTGTTTTTAATATGTAGGTAATAGCCGCTTTCATAGATGGCGTTGTAATTAAAATCGTGTCAAATCAGTTTTACTCGATCGTCACAACTTCGTTCCTATCGGGTGTCCCACGACACCACACGGCTTTTTTTTTTAAACAACTCCTGCATTAGGAATATATCCTGTGTCGCGGGGGACTTTACAAACATACATGAAACGGACACAAAGAGCACCTAGACTCAGAACAACAATTTGTGGATCATACAAAGTGATGTCCGAAACGGTGATCGAACCCAAAACACTCCACACAGTAGGAAGCGGCGAGGTGACCGCTTAAACCACTACACCATCCGTGCCAACAATATTAGATTTCGTGGATTCGATTCCCATTCAGAAAAATATTTGTATGCATAATTTGATATTTATTTTTATGTTGAATATTTATTTATTTACAACTTTATGCACTTATGTACAACGGCGGGCTTAATTCCCAAGGCATTCTCTACCAGCCAACTTTTGGGGGATGTAGAAATATGGTAAGCCTATGGATAATATGGATGTAAATAAAAAAAATGTAACTTTGGATCTTTATCCATGTTCTAGAGCCATGCACAAGCTTTGCTTAATTTGGGTCTAGATACTAATTAGTCCCAAAATGGTTCCACTGTGACAATTATGTCTCATGGAACCAGAGGTCTGTGGAAAAAATTAAGGTCTATATTAATATCTGTGTGGTGAAGGATTAAGAATACAGAGTGTCACCACCCCTATTCATCCCGAGGGTGTCGTAAGAGCCGACTAAGGGAGTAAACTACGCAGAACAACCACACTGCAAACAGAAGGAAAACTTGAAACAAACCCTATACCAATCCGTCTGGCCAGCGTGGTATAGTAGACCAAAACCTCATTTCTGAGGAGAGGCCTATGTCCAGCAGTTGACTAGTAAAGGCTGTTGATGATTAATAGACATTAGCTGATGACTATCAAGGGTCCGCTGACCACACGTTGGTAAACCCCCGTTTGAAGTTTTCTTTATTGGGTACTTACTCGTGTCTGTGCCTCCGCCGTTTATCCCACGACTTTTTAAGTTTAAAATACTCTGCCTTCTTTTCCGCAAATTCATGATGATCGGTTGAGTGGTTACAGTGTTAAATAGTTACAAATAAACTAACATTCGAGTTTACAAATTTGAGTGCACGGATGGCGTAGTGGTTTAAGCGGTCGCCACGCCGCTTCCTACTACGCCGAGTGTTGTGGGTTCAAACCCCACATGGGACGACACTTTGTGTGATCCACAAATTGTTGTTCTGAGTCTGGGTGTTCTTTGTGTCCGTTTCATGTATGTTTGTAAAGTCCCCCGCGACACAGGATTTATTCCTAATGCTTGAGCTGTCTTTTTTAAAGAAAAAAATAATAATAATTAAGGTGTAATTTATTAAATGATCCACTTTTATTTCAGGTCGGTAAAGTTGCTTGGTGGATATGTGACGGATGATCCCAGAGTTGTGATCAATTCAGAACGTGTTCTCGACAGGTTCCAGCGTTCGGTAAGATACTGAGAAAGCTTTAGCCAAACAATAGTGACTGCGTCGGTGGTGCAGTGGTAGCGTATGCGACGGCTGTGCTGAGGTCTCGGGTTCGATTCCCGGGTCGCCATCTAGTTTTAAACTAAGCAGAGCTCGTAATATGAAAGCTAAATTGACTGATAGAATACTTATATACACTTTTTTGTAAATACAGACATATTATAGATAGAAAACACCCAAAATCCGAAACAAATATTTGCAGATCATAGAAACATTTGGTCCAACCCGGAAATCGAACCCGAGACCTTAGTTCAGCAGTCGCATAAGCTACCACTGCAGCACCGAGGCAGTCATATTAACGAGATTTTGTTTATTTTTTATTAGAACACGCTTGGTTACACGCTTAATGCGGATGAAAGTGAGACTGAAAAATATGTAACAAGACTTTTTTCCGACACTTCATTTTAACCCTCCATAGTCCATAGACCCCTCAACCGTTTTTTATTTATTTATCATTTTATAGTATTTTTAATTATTAACAATAGACAATTCTTACAGTATTTAATAGACAACTTAAGCGGGACGATAGCTAGTTCCAACTACGGCACTTTGTTACTGTCGAACATCGTACCCGCGCCCTTCCAGTCGACGTACTCGGGCACCACCCTCAAGCCGTACATACGGAGAGACCCTGATTCCATGCCCACGTGGTTGAAGCTCACCGATGAACTGCTTCGGAAGACTAACCGGTAACGAGGATTTTGTAACGTTATGTTTTTAGTATAAGAGTGTTAAAATAGAAGTGTTATAGTCTATTCGCGTTAAGAAAATAGTGACGCATCTAAGTTTTCGTACGAAACTATAATTTCTTGGAACTTGATCGGTCTGCGGTCGGGCTTTAACGCGAATGGACTATACTGTCCTGTCAAGCCAAAAAAATTGTTTAATATAAAAAAAAAAACAGCAGTCTAAGATGTCAGTATAGTGTTTGTATCCTTGTGTGTATCCTTAGCAGCTAAATCAAGAGGTTGTTTGATGTTTCTTTGTATAATAAGTGTGTATTTACAAAAAAGTATAAATATGTGTATGGTATAATTAACTGCCTCGGTGGTGCAGTGGTAGCGAATGCGACTGCTGTGCTGAGGTCTCGGGTTTGATTCCCGGGTTGAATCAAATGTTTGTATGATGTGCAAATATTTGGTTCGGAGTTTAGGTATATTTACAAAATAAGTATATAAGTATTCTATCAGTCAATCTAGCTTTCATAGTACCAGCTCTGCTTAGTTTGAAACTAGATGGCGTTGTGTGTCAGATGTCCAAAAATATTATTATGTATTTATATCAGTTGTTTAGTACCCATAGTACTCTCTTGCTCGGTCTCTCATATGTCATATTTTTTTCATTTTAACCGTAAATCTATTATAAACTGTATATTGTTAATACATAGAGTCTAATATAAATAGTTGATACGTACAGGCACATAAAGGACTACTCCCCCCCTCCCCACGCCACATTGGACTACTCGTACGTGCGGCCGCAACACATCGCCGCTGTGAACAATCTCTGCGCGCAGTTCTTCTGGCCGGGGATCGATGGTGAGTCTTACTGTCCACAGAATTGAGCTCAAATTTACTTGACGTATTTCTGTTAATATGATTAAAGCATTGTCCGTGTGGATTAAGAATACGGAGTGTCACCACCCCTATTCATCCCGTGGGTGTCGTAAGAGCCGACTAAGGGAGCAAACTACGCTAGACAAAGAAAAGGAAAACTTGAGCCAAACCCTATACCAACTCGTCTTGTCAGCGTGGTATAGTAGGCCAAAACCACCTTTCTAAGGTGAGGCCTATGTCCAGCAGTGGACTATTAAAGGCTGTATAAATTTTTTGTAGGTATTAAATTATATTATTAGGTTAGATAGTAATTTTATGTATGTATAAAAAAAAAGAAACCGGTCAGGTACGAGTCGAACTCGTACGCCGAGGGTTCCGTACCTTCCCAGATTTTACGTAGATTTTTGCGAAAGTTTGTAAGTGCCAAAATTTATCTAATTTTCAACTTTTTTTATTTTACAAGTTTTCGCGAAAATCGAAATTTGCCCATATCTTTTTATCGTGTTGACTCAGGACCTTGATTTTTATACACCTAATAGGGACCTTAGACCTCAGTATCTGGTATAAATTTTAACTTGCTAGGTCTACCCGTTCCTGAGAAAATCGGTGGTGACAGACTGACAAGAAAGTGATCTTATAAGGGTTCCTTTTTTACATTTTGAGGTACGGAACCCTAAAAATTGATCCGGTTAAAAGTGATTTCATCTCTAGGCGGGGTTAGCGTCAGTCAGACAGCCACAGTCAATAAATAACTTAGTCAGGCAGGTAATGATGATATTGACGGTGATAACGGTGATGATGTCTATACTACGATATGCTCGTAGTTATTCTAGTACAAGTCATACTTAGTTTGAATCTCCGATATTTCCTAACCGATACGACCTTCAAGAAAAAACCTACCAACCATTACCTGTGAATCTTGAGTTGAATGTGACTATGTGGGTCCCGTGTATTAGTATTTTGCCTCAAATAACATCTCCTCCAAGAGAATAAAGTAAGTAAATTTTCTGAAAACAGTGTCCGAGGCGCTGCAGTACCCGGAATTCAGCTGCGTGGTGACGTACAAGAAGCTGGTGGTGGGCTGCGCCTTCCTCGTGCCGGGCGTTCGTCACGGGGAGGCCTACATCTCCTTCGTGCTCACTAGACCCGAGTGGAGGAAAGCCAAGATCGCCACTTTCATGCTCTATCATCTGTTACAGGTCAGACATGACTGGTCAACCACTACACTATACATATACTATTATTTACTTTTACTTTATACTCTTATTAATTCGGAGATTAACGCAATCTATAGGTATTTGTGGCCATCCATAAATTACGTCACACGTTAGGGAGGGGGGGTGGGAGGTAATTATAAATTTTGTGACGTCACATTTCAAAACCTAAGTAATATATCTAAGTAATAAAATGCGAACTTTGAATTATGTAATACATTTTTTAAATAGTTTGATTCGATGTTGATTTTATTAAAAATAATTTATATGGTAATAAAACTAATTTTAGAACTGCCATTTTAATTTAATAATTTCTAGGGCTAAATATGTGATGTCACACTATGGGGGGGCCACAAATGTGACCAGCTGTGACATGGACGGGGGTGGGGGTCAAAATGCATGAAAATTCGTGTGACGCAATTTATGGATATGTGGATGGCTTTCGATTGATGCCATAGATGCGCATGGAAAGCCATGGTTTAGCACAAATGGGAGTGACACCACTGCTGTGAGACATTGGTATTATTCACACACAAGTGAGTGAAGTTAAGGGAAGCTCAACCAAAACCCTTTAATGTTTTGGGAAGGTACTCAAAGGACGTGAATCCACTTGTCTCTTGAGTTTCAGGTGTCCATGGACAGCGGTAGTCGCTTACCATCAGGTGACTTATGTGCTTGTTTGCCCTCCATACCATAAAAATTACATACCTTTGAATTGTCTTAAGTTTTGACCAGAAGGCCAATTCTCGTAATAAAAGTTCGGTCATGATTCAGTTCCGATCAACTTTCGATCTCAAAATATCATAAAAGGTATTTTAGTAGTAAACTATTAACCCTATACCAACCCGTCTGGCTAGCGTGGTATAGTAGGCCAAAACCTCCTTTCTAAGGAGAGGCCTATGTCCAGCATTGGACTAGTATAGGCTGTTGATGTGATGTGAAACTATTAAACATCCAACGTTGACTGTAAAGTGATTATATCTTATTGTAACTAAAAATTGAATCGATCATCTCTCTCTCTTTTTTGACATCTCCCGCACTAGGAATAAATCCTATGTCGCGGGGAACTTTACAAACATACATGAAACGGACACATAGAACACCCAGACTCAGAACAACAATTTGTGAATCACACAAAGCGTCGTCCCATGTGGGGTTTGAACACACAACACTCAGCGCAGTAGGAAGCGGCGTGGCGACCGCTTAAACCACTACGCCATCCGTGCTGCTAGTCTTAGTAATACTTTACTACGAAAATACCTTTTATGACAGTTGTGAGATCGAAAGTTGATCGGAACTGAATTTCGATCGAACTTTTATTACGAAAATTGGCTTTTTCTTTAGTTTTGTTTAGTTATTGCTTTAGTTTTGATATGTGCTTCCGTTTGCAGACTTGTTCTGGCCAAGATGTGACTCTTCACGTATCACCAACGAATCCTGCCATATTTCTGTATCAGAAGTTTGGTTTTAAAGTGAGTATGAGGTATTTTATTTAGTTCAATCCCACCAATATTCCTACTACTCCTGGAAGCCATTCTTTGGTTGCCTTTCACTGAGTGAGTGAGGTTACCGGAGCCTAAATCCCCACTCCCGCTGACTCGAGCGGGAGGGACTCCAAGGACAGCAACGCACTTGTGACTTGTAGGTGTCTATTGGCGGCGGTAGTTGCTTACCATCAGGTGACCCGTCTGCTCGTTTGTCCCCCTTATACCATTAAAAAAAACGCTGACGGAAGACTTGCTTAGACTTGTCTAGATTATACACAACCATTATATTAATCTGGACAAACAATAACTTGGAAGTAGCGGTTTTTACTCTTTATAACACATTAGCTGCTAGGCAAGGAGGGGCTCGGCAACCCCCGACTTCCGGCCCACTACCAATACCAATACACTAGCTGCTACCCGGGACTTTGAAAAGCGCTGGCTTAGTGGTGTAGTTCGTTACGCGACTGCACGGACTGGGCAAAATTTCATCGCGTTTTTCTGAGAAGAAAAACAGCCTGAATTACTCCTTATATAGACAGCTACCTGGTAGTAAAATATTATCAAAGTCGGTAAAGCCGTTTTGAAGATTACCAGGAACAACAGACAGACAAAAAAGATTTAAACTGGTTTTTAGGCATAGGCATAGTGCAAATTACTGTCAATTTTATTTATTTGTAATGATAAACACAAAACTGTACATGTAAATCAACTAAAAACTAACTCTTCTACACTACAAGGTTCAGGTCAGGTCACTACAGTCTAGTGACCGTTTTCTTTTTTACGTGTGAAAACCACCTCGGGCCCTCACCCCGCCGGGGCTTGCAGCGGGGTGGTGTGTCGGAATCGGACCGACTAAAACCACACGGTGTGCCACTCTGCATCTGAAATAGCAGGGATCCGGAAACTGCTGTTATTAGGACATCGGGACCCCTCCTAGCACAGTCTGATGACCATAGTACATGCTCTGCCTAGTTTGGGATCAGACGGCCGTGTGTCAGTTATGTAAGGTTATTATTATTATCTATATACCTTTACTAAACAAATGTTGGCACCATCCTTTTTTTATCCGTCTGTCTGTTTGGTAAAGTTCCTGGAACGGGTGGACTGATTTCCATTAAACTTTTGCTAATACTCTAAGGAGTGAATTAAAACTATTTTTTCTATGAAAAAAACCAAACTGTATACAGCAATACTGTCCAAAATACAAAAGGTAAGTTTTTTATTCTCTCAAATCAACTAATACACAAATTTTTAATAATTTTCAAAACCATTTGTCTATGACAACAGATAATTTATTTTTCATCCTGATCTATACTTCTATACTAAAAAGCTGAAGAGTGTGTTTGTTTGAGGTATCTAACACTAAAAGAACTTTTCAAATTCGTACCCATAGTTCCTGAGATTAGTGCGTTCAACCAAACAAACAAACTCTTTTGCTATATATTAGTATAGATTTAGTAATATTTATTTGATTTCTTAAAACGAAAATAATTTCATCATTAGCCTATCGCAGTCCACTGCTTTACACATTGCACGACATTTATATCGAAAAAATGTAATATGCGTTAAGTATAAAATGAAACAAATGCATATTGTATAATCATGTTTTATTTTCACTGGTTTTAGTGATAGATTTTAAAATATTAGAAGTATTACATTACACTCCAGGTTTACTGATAAACCCTTCGTACAATAAGTAATCGTAAATCTTCCTCGTTTTATTAACATCTATTTTAACTATTCTCCTTGCGTCTAACAATCGGAGGAAACCCATTTTACTATTCTGTGTTATTAGTTGCTGCTTAATATCTAAATAATTATCTGGTATCAATCTTAAATTAGAACACAAAACTTTTTCAGCCTCCGTGAGATGGTTGAATCCGGGTAAATCAACAATTTCTAACGGCATTGATGTCCGTTTGTACTTTAGTAACTGATTGTTCTTGCCAAACAACTGCACATGCTTTACAGGCGATTGACTATCAAACTTCTTGGCCATTACATTTGTGGCATACTTCTGCTCCTTAACGACTAAATCATTCTCCTTTTTCAATTGTTTGTAAAGCTTAGCTGCGAACAATGTCCTTATACCGTTTCTACGGTACTCGGACAACTTCAAGATCTTTTGCATAAGTTCATATTCTAAACTTACTGACTCCATAAATGCATCAAACTGCATCCCGGTCATGAATTGCATAAACGACATTAACCTTTCTGCCTTCTGCTTGGTTAATGTAGAATCAAACTTTTGCATCCAAGAAATCAATTTATTAGGCTTGATTAACCCATGACGTTGGATAATTTTGTACCGTCTGTGCCTTTCTCGAAGTCTATTATTCAAAGCATTCACTAATGATACCTTTAGTGCCTCCATGCACTCGTCATCTTCATCTGAATAATTGTCTTCTATACTGAATATACTTTCTGCATTGTGATCATAGCTCAGTTCAAATTCCGACCTGTATGCATTATATCCAGCCAAGTGTTGATCAGCGTTATTATTTCTCGGTGGGTTTGCGGATATGTCTGTATTATACAAAAAAGGTATAACAGGTTTTGGAAACAAAGACTGCTCTGTCTCAGGTAATAGTTTCAATTCATTGTACTGAACATTTTCTATGTAATACTTTTTGTAATGTTCTTGGCATTCAAGTTTTGTTCTTGTGTGTACACTTCTCGATATTTCCTCCCAATTCCCGAAGCCATAAGTAGATAATGCAGAGAGCAACTTACATTCTTCTTTTGCAGACCAATTGCAATTGTCGAATAACGGGAAGTCGTTTCGTCGTACAGCGTATTTATGATCATTTTTGTGTGGACCAACCTCCTTGCCCGACGCGAAACACGGCGTACAGAAATTACTATCACATTCAGCACATTCTATAAATGGTTCGTGGGCTATTTCTAAACAACTATCGCATTTAGTTTGAAGTATATCATTGGACATTGTTTGCAGGTGGAGGAGTTGATTCAAGACTTCTATGAGAAGTATTACGACATAGATTACAAAGGCTGTCGACACGCTTTGTTTCTAAGACTTGTTAGATAAATAAATGCATATATTACTGATATTACTCTTTTATTTGCACTTATATGATAATAACTGATCGCTTTTGGTTTACTCCGAGATTAGAGATGGCAGGCTTTGTTTTTGTGTTTTATTGACAAACAGAATATGTCAGGTCGGCGTGCTAACAGTGTTGCCAACTCAAACTGAAATACAATAAAATAACTACTGGCTAAAATACTAGATATCCTTTACATATGTAACAATTTAAATAACATTAAATATTGAGTTTAATGAAATAAATTAACCTCATAAATGTGGTGAGGAATAATAAATTTATCAATATCTGTAATACAACTTGGACTTGGACTTGGAGTGCCACGATTAGGGTTTCATTGCCATACTAATTAGTCATAGGCTCATAGCATTTAATTAAATATGTATAAAAATTCACAGTACCCAGGACAGTATTGACCTTAAATGAAAAAATTAACTAAAACAACTCTTAATCCCCAGTTTGCCTTTGCCAAGCCAAGCAAACATTAAAATACGTAGAAGCTGCCATCAAAAACCTCTTGAAATTAAACGGTACCTATTGAAATATCGTAACAATTTTGACAGAATATTCACAGACAGTTATCTTTTCGATAACTCTCTCAATAGTATAAAATTAAAACGTATATTTAATATTACTTGATATCTTTATTCTTGAAATTTTATAAATAGTAAGTATATAATATATATTTATAAATAAATACATGACTTATACAATTTCCATACTTGTTAAAATTGATAGAACCTAAATTGCTGTGTATCCTTTCTCTTTTCATTAAGCAAATCTTGTTAAACGTCATCATCAACAGCCTTTAGGTAATAGTCCACTGCTGGACGTAAGCCTCTCCTTAGAAAGGAGGTTTTGGCCTACTATACCACGCTGGCCAGACGGGTTGTTATAGGGTTTGTGTCAAGTTTTCCTTCTCTTTGCAGCGCTCTTGTCCTGCATAGTTTTTTCCCTTAGTCGGGTCTTACGACACCTACGGGATGAATAGGGGTAGTGACATTCTGTATTCTTAATCCGTCACCACACGGACAATACCAACTTGTTATACGTGTCCTTCGAAATTAGGAGGTAAATTGTTAATTTGAACTGAAGTCATCTGTTCGGCACTATAGGTTTCTTGTAAAGACGACAATCTATAAGTATTATAACTGTATGTCACTGTCAAATGTACATTGGAACGGTACATAGATTAAGAGTAAATAGGACTAAAACCAAATACATTTACAGTAATTTCCTTAAAACAGGAACGTCTAGTAACGTGATAGAACAATTTCAAACTCATGGTATCATTTTAAAAGTTTTCGGCTACTTAAAACATTTGGACTCTGTCTGGTATCTATGATACTAAGACAGAGACCAAGTCACTATTGATAGTGATAAAATATCTTCTTAGATAAGGTGGAGATCGTTAACAAAAGTGTGATGCAACGATGCTCATGTAGGTCAAAGGAAACATAGAGCAAGTCTCGAATGTAAGACTACAAAAAATTGCATCGTCCTTGATATTGGATGGCCGTGAGCTAAGGACACGTATGACAAGTTGGTATTGTCCGTGTGGTGACGGATTAAGAATACAGAATGTCACTACCCCTATTCATCCCGTAGGTGTCGTAAGACCCGACTAAGGGAAAAAACTATGCAGGACAAGAGCGCTGCAAAGAGAAGGAAAACTTGAAACAAACCCTATAACAACCCGTCTGGCTAGCGTGGTATATTAGGCCTAAACCTCCTTTCTAAGGAGAGGCCTATGTCCAGCAGTGGACTAGTAAAGGGAGTTGATGTGAATCGCTTCACGTACATAATAGGGTTCTGTAATAATTTGTCCTTTCGGCATGTAATTAACAAAAAGGATTTCTGCAGTACCCCAAAACAGTGAAGCTATTACTTTGCCAGCAGTAGAAGTAACTCGAAATTTTTGTGATAGCTGAGATGATGGCTATTTCCAAAACATACTTTGTCTTATGGTTTCAGGATTGGAATGGTAGACCCACGTGTCATTCATGTTAACAACATGATGGTAAAATGGATACGGATCACGCTGTAACATTTCGAGATTCTACTTAAAAACCTCCAATCGTCATCTTGTTTTCGTCAGTTAACATTCGTGGTACCCATCTTACCGAAAGTTTCCCTATAAATCAGTTAAAATGGATTGACTGCTACTAAATGAAATCTTTAGGATAGCAGCTACATTTTTTATGGTTATTCCTGTGACTCCTAAAACCCAATTCTCGACCTTTTTGATATTTTCTTTTGTATCGGAGGTTACCGCCCAGAACGCAGATCATCTTCACAGCTCGATGAACGCTTTAAACAACAGTAGAATAGGATAAAGCACTTTCCTCTAATGTCTGCTGAAGGTCTGCAAAAAATTTCTTCGTGGCCCTTTTTTATCGCGATACGATACTTTATGATTACGCGCAATGCATTTTTCTAAATGTGTTAGTATTTTTTACTACTTTTGAAAGGCTATTTATGAAATAAGGCAAACTATCCATAAATATTGTGTGACTGTCACTCTTTAAAATAAATATCGAACTACCCTGAAAATTATAAATTATATAAAATAGGCTGCTCATAACTTTTTGACTCACCTCGTACATAGCGAGAGCCATAAAAATTTAAGCAACCTCAAAAGGCAATCAGGTTGACTACCTGCGAACGAATATATTTTTTCGCAAACCACATCGGACTAACATCTGACATGTTGTTTATTAGAAATAAATAATTAACAGAAATTATATTGGACACCGAAGTAACTAAGGGTCATAGACGACTTTTTTCATTTTTATGCTTTGGGTTAGATCTTACACATTTTACAAGCGACAACTAAAGCGGCTTTCAAATTTCACGAAACCTGTGCACATTATTTTGAGGTTTAATTATTCTTAAACAGCTCATTACCCGTTCTCTTCTTACTTTCGGGACGATGTTAGAAACATTAACATTTTTGAAAATATAATTAATCTCTTAAAATAAACTGGTAGGGACTAGTTTATATAGAGGTATATATAATATTTCACCTTCTTGTTCTTAATCATAATGTGCTTTATTTAAATAATATTATGATATAAGAAACGACTTAATATTTACCCAAACACTAAAAATTGCAGTTTTATCAAAAAAAAATTGACCATTGTTGAAATAATTGATTCATTCAAAGTAAACGCTTTAAACATTCAATCTTAAACATTAATAACACATAAATTGCATCTAAATACCTTATTTAAGTAATACTAGCACAGTTCAGTACTGCTAGCAATGATATAATACGAATGATAATAAAAAGCACCCCTAATCAATTAGAATGTCAGATGGTTCTAGAAACTTGGAGATTTATTTTACCAGAAACTGCTTAACCGCGTACTTAACAGACATTACAATATAATTGTGATGTGTCTAGAAATATAAAAATAGGCAATATTAAAACCACGGCAATAAATTATAAATATTAAATATATCGAACTAATTTCTATTAATTAAAAATGGCTTGGGCAGTGAGAACAGAGAAATATGTCAGAAGGTTTGCCGTAGAGAACGTATTGCCCCCGCCACTGCGTAATCGGAACGTGATAATGACGCGAACTTCGTAACCAAAGCTTATGGGACAGAACAATGAAATTTACTTTTATCTCTTTCTATCCTATGTGTATCGCCTGAACGAGTCACGTTTTTATCTCGTTTTAGCATGTTGTGAAGGCCCTAGAACGTTCTAGATGTTTTAATGTATATATTTTGGCGCAACGACGGCGCTGTGTTTCATTCAAACGTGAGTTTACTACAGTGAGGTGTGAAGTTGTGTTGTGTGTGAATTTATTCAAAATTCGTTCGTTCCAGTATATTTGGACTATAATACTGAATTGTTTAAATTAGGTAAGTGTATTCTCGTTACGTTTATTACTTTTGTTTTTATAACTACTGTATTTTTCAATCAAATCGTCCGTCTGCTGTTACGAACGATCGCTCCACATCTCCAAAAATGGTGTCAGCCAGCGAAGGCTAACGGGAATCGTTTTTTGTTCTAGGATTAGCTCATCAGAATGGGTAAAGATTACTATAAAATATTGGGAATATCAAAAGGCGCGTCTGATGACGACATAAAGAAAGCGTACCGAAAGTTGGCACTCAAGTACCATCCGGACAAGAATAAAGCAGCTGGTGCCGAGGAGAGATTTAAGGAAGTTGCAGAGGCGTACGAGGTATTATCAGACAAGAAGAAACGTGAGATCTACGATGCTCACGGCGAGGAAGGCCTCAAGGGAGGAATGGGCTCACATAATGGGCCTGGTGGTGGCCAGTCGTTCTCGTACACGTTCCACGGAGACCCGAGGGCGACGTTCGCACAGTTCTTCGGTTCTGCGAGCCCGTTCCAAGCATTCTTCGATCTAAATGGCGGTGGTGGAGGCCCGACGATGTTCTTCGACCGTGACATGGATGTTGATATGGATCCGTTTTCAAACATGGGAATGGGTACAGCGAGAGCGGGTGGACCAGGAGGAGCTTTCCGTAGTCACAGTTTCAACTTCCATGGATCTCCCAGCCGAAAAGAGAAGACCCAAGACCCGCCTATTGAACACGATTTATACGTATCACTTGAAGATATCGCCCGTGGTTGTGTAAAGAAGATGAAGATTTCGCGCCGCGTGTTACAGCCAGACGGCACGTCGAAAAAGGAAGACAAAGTGCTGACAATCCATGTGAAACCTGGTTGGAAGGCTGGCACAAAGATCACTTTCCAGAAGGAAGGCGACCAGGGTCGCAATAAGATCCCTGCAGACATCGTGTTCATCATCAGAGACAAGCCCCACCCACTTTTCAAGAGAGAAGGCAGTGACATCAGATATACAGCCAAGGTTTCATTAAAACAGGTAAGCCTCTTTTGTGTTTGATAGTCTTTGCACTGCATAGATACTTCAAGTGTTAAACATTAAATATTCTTACATAAAATAATAAATATTGTTCTAGAATACTCATCATAACATACTTTTATAACCTTCAGTGATAGCTTAAGTTCATTGTACTGTTTAACATCTCGTTTGCATCTGTTTTTCCTTGATATGTACAGTAATGGGACTAAATAATTATGCTTTATTATTCACTTTACTGATAAATAACTAGTCTTTTTGTAAATTTATTAACTAGTATTATCACTTTTGTTCTCATGTCATAAGAATGAGTCACATAACATTGATTTGTTGACATCACAAAATAAACCATGCTTTTTCTTTGTTACAGGCACTGTGTGGCACTATCATCGAAGTACCAACCATGTCAGGGGAAAAGTTGACGGTCAACCTTCAAGCTGAGGTTGTCAAACCACACACTGTGAAGAGGTTCCCAGGATATGGACTACCATTACCCAAGGAGCCGACACGGAAAGGCGACTTGCTTGTTGCATTTGACATCAAATTTCCAGATCGTCTATCCACAAATGTGAAAGAAATTCTCATGGATACTCTACCCAATTAGTTCTCAGACTGTTTATCTCATTAGAACTGTTTTTAAGTGTATAATTTTGAGTTGGTTCGGAGAGAAATGACTTGATTTTGGAAAAGAAACATTTGAAATAGGGAGAATCATATTAATTAGGCCATTGATATGAGTTTGCCTAGTTCATGAAACATGTTTAGGTCCCTAGTGATATCTCTCAGTACCATCTAATTTATATGCTCAAAACTAGTGATGGGACATTTCTACTAGTGTAGGAATATACTCATTAGTGTTGCCTAATTACTGACTGTAATTCTGTTGTGAACGGCTAGCTAAAATTTAGTTTGAGTGGGTAGACTCCATGCGTTTTAGTACGGAGCTAAGCGAGACTGATGTTTTTATTTAATTCTGATTAAGTTGTAAATATTTTGTATTGTAAATATGTGACAACAGTGATTGTAAGTTGTAAGTTTCTTTGGAAACTTGGAATTGGCAATTGCAGGACATCTCAAGAATGTGGTTTGATATGTTGGCTTGTTTTGGAACTGTGAAAGTGTATTAGTGTGTAGTGATGTGCAAGTGAGTTTACTTATCACTTATAATTGCTGTTAAAATGACTAATAAACAAAATACTATGGATGTTTTTGTTTGATTTATTCATTCATGAAAATAGTTCTCGATGTTAAATTACGTAATCGTATAAAATGTCAAGTTTATTTCGGCCCACGTGCGGGTGCTTACAGAACGCGCACTCACGTGTAAAACCGTGATCGTAGAACTTGCGAGACTGAATTTAATACAAAACATTTATTTGTATACCAAATTCACTCATTAATGAAAAATTAACGGGCTTAGATGTCATTGACATTAAAAGATGAATCGGATATAACCGGTTCCTGCCCCGTGAGATAAGAAATCTTAGAAAGTATCAAAAACCAAAATATGCATTGCTCTCTACACCTGCATATTACGCTATTTGTGTGCAGTGAGAAAGTCGTAAAATTGACTTGCAATAATGCTATAACGATGAAATAGCACCCATGTGAAATAATAGGACAGAAATGTGCCTAGCTAATCCATAAATTTTAAGAATGGCAGCCAGCCGTTATACGAAGACGTGATTTATGAAATGAGCTATTTCTAATGACGTCAGAACAGGAAGAGCTGGCTAATTCCTTGTAGTCTATACGGTTAGAGTCAGTTTCCAACAATAGGAATGTTTACCGAAATAATAGGCGCTAAAAGAGGAACTGTCATTCATCACAGTGCTGGAGTTGGAATTTTATTAAGAATGTAATTAGGTACATGGGACCAGCGGGTAAAAGACCGAACAGATATTTACTAACATTCCAATTGATAATCACTGAATTTTGAAAATATTATTTTTGTTGTGTTAACAGCTGCAAAACGGAAATCTTTAGACACGGCCACCACGATGAACCTTGGCGATGCTGAGTAGGGCCATGAAACTAGCGATTTAGCACCTCTGCGGGCAAACACGTTGTCTGTGTTGATAAAAACTTTTTTCCAGTGCAAACAACATTTGGATATTTTTGAAGTGAAAACTTCTTTACGCACGTTGGGCGTTTTTGAACAACAAACAAAAGAATGTATTTTTTGAGATAGGAAAAAAACCATTGAACTCGTGACAGTGTTACCGTTACCGACACCTCTGCATAAAAGTACCCACATATATTGGTCCCGTTCACATGAGAGTTGAGTTTGGGTTGACTTGAAATATATCGATAATATATAATATAAACAAATATTGTGAATAAACGTTCAACAAATATTTATATTCATGTTGGAACTTTTCGAATCGAAAAATACAAAACTTTTCTGTTACAATAAAAAAATTTCAAGTTTTAACTTCTGTCCGCACTCCCGGAGTGCCACTGTTTTTTTTTAAACACAACACAACTACTGGAGCGCACACAATCTGTTTGTAGGTTTGTAGCCACAGTTGCAGATAAAAAAAAATCCGTGTGTTTTGTTAGCGTTGGAAAAGGTTTTTATAAACATTGACCGTGTACCGTGTACCAAGTGTTTGTCGCGAGAAAAGTGCTCACAGTTTACAAACTTTTAAAATTGGAATAGGTATTTTCTTACTTTGGTATTTTCGGAGTTATGAATCCGTTCTTTCATTGGTCAATTTTTTTGACGTGACAACGTCTTATAATTCGATGGAGCCGGCTGCACGCACGAAAAAACATGACTCATGCGGCGTTACCTCGCTCTGAGGCGTTCCATTTAAGGCTTGAAGTGCAAGCGAGAGCGCGGAACGAGCGAAAAAGAGGCACAATCGGCCTCCGCGTTCGGCAGCGTTCGACATCTGTCTAACAAATAAAATTAAAATTTTCTTTTGAAAAATGCAACCATTCCATTAGTATTTTCTTATGACGTTGTCACGTTCAACTATCGTCAGTAAACCGACTTTACAGACAACCGATTTTTTTTCAATAATTAACGAAAATGTATTCCACCTACTAATAATGGTTTATAAAATGCTTTTGAAGATAAATAAATTGGTCTGCCGGACTTATGGTGTGCTAGCTTGTGCCCACTGTGCGCGTACTTTCAGTGTTGGTACCCCCTATCCCGAGATAGGGTACCTACGAAAGCCACATCAGAACACAAGCTCGAAACTCAGACCCCAAAAATAAACAGTTACCGTAGCCGGCATGGGGATAGTTTATATATAAATAATGGATTATACGGTGCTTGTGAAGATAAATTAATTGGTCTTGCGGTCTCATTAAATATCTTTTTTGTTTTTATCTATACTAATATTATAAAGCTGAAGAGTTTGTTTGTTTGTTTGTTTGTTTGTTTGTTTGAACGCGCTAATCTCAGGAACTACTGGTCCGATTTGAAAAATTCTTTCAATGTTAGATAGCCCATTTATCGAGGAAGGCTATAGGCTATATATCATCACGCTAAGACCAATAGGAGCGGAGCACCAATGAAGAATGTTTCAAAAAACGGACAAAATTTATTACTATTGCGAGACGCAGACGAAGTTGCGCGGATCAGCTAGTCATATTATGAGTTTATAATAAATACGAATTTAGAGGTTGGTAGAACCGTCAAAGCAAGCAACTAGCCAGGGTCTGGTACTGCAAGCATGACAATGGCAACACCGCAGCATTGTCCAAACGGCACCTATCATGTAAAATTAAATTATGTAACTTAAGATACTTTACTATAACGTAACATATCATACCTAATCATTATTTGTTTATATTCTATTTGGGACGTAATGTTACCACACAGATCACCTTATTAAGTACTAGCTGACCCGCGCAACTTCGTCTGCGTCTCTCAATAGTAATAAATTTTCTCAGTTTTTGAAACATTCTTCATTGGTGCTCCGCTCCTATTGGTCTTAGCGTGATGATATATAGCCTATAGCCTTCCTCGATAAATGGGTTATCTAACACTGAAAGAATTTTTTAAATCGGACCAGTAGTTCCTGAGATTAGCGCGTTCAAACAAACAAACAAACAAACAAACAAACTCTTCAGCTTTATAATATTAGTATAGATTTAATTGTTCCCTAATAAATAAAATCCAAACAAATATCTAGTGTACATATCTATATTTCACGTAGTTTTATCGAAGAATAATGTACGACATTTTCTTACAATTTTCGTTACTTCCCCGGTTGATTTCGTGACCGCACATTCAAATGCGGAGGCCGAGGCGAGTCTGACGTCACAGAGTAAAAATACGCGCGACACTCGCCCCGCCTCCGCACTCGCTGGAGAAATGCACACACAACGTGATGTGATTATAGTTGATTTTATTCGAGTATCAACATTTTGCGATGTAGTACATTATCTCCATGCCGGAAGACTATCATACGAAATCTTAAAAGTGAATGCATAAGTCGTTTTAATTGATTATGGTCAAATTAAGGTAAGGTAAAGAGAGCGCCAATTTTTAAATGTCAGCGGGGTGCTTTCATTACAGGAAAACAATTAATATGCAGCCTGATTATATTCTGTTTGTGTTTTTTATAATTTCTACCTTTGCTCCTCCTTTTCCTGCAATTTGTGGGCTTGATTTCGTAAAAAGGGACGGAAGTCTGTAGCAGGAAGACAGTTAACGGCGCGCGAAAATGTCGGGTATCTATGTCATAATTATGTTACACATCTTATATGACTGAAGAATTTATTATTTTACTTTATTTATTTACCATTTTACAAAACCATTTACAATAATCTATTATAGTGCATTTGAAAACCACAGAGGTTTTGTGAAAATGTAACAGATTATGCTACTTTAGAAGAAAAAATACTGTCGTATTTTTTCGAACGAATTTAAATTTGAAAGAGACCAAACGATAAGTATATTTTTTCAAATTAAAAAAATAAAAGATTTTTCTAAATTGGTCACAAAAAACGAAGTTCTGAAGTAACAAACATGGGAAATAAAATACAACTGAATTGAAAACTATCTCCTTAGAACCTATTTGGTAAATCGGGTTAAAAAATTAAGAATTTTATACCTCACTGGCGACCCGCCCCGGCTTCGCACGGGTGCAATGTAGATATTAATGTGGTGTAAGTGTCGAATTATTATTATTTTACTACAGAATATATTCATATACAGCTTTTTTTCATGAGACAATACAAATATGTTTTCTTTAAACGTGGAGCTTACTCTGGCAAACGCAGTGCCCTCGGACCACTGGCACCCGGGACGTACGGCCTGACGGTCGCTTTGATATCTTCTAAAATATTTATTATAATAATATGCTGTAAAAGTTGATTTTAATTTACATTAAAAGTATATAATGTACTTAATAAGATAAACAATAAGATTGTATTGTTTAAAATAGCTTCGTGAATAACAATTTTTTTTTGTAAAATTAAAAAACAAAAAAAAAACAACTTTAATTGTCCACTGCTGGAAATACGAGTAGAAAAGAGGTTTTGGCCTTCTATACCACGATGGCCAGACGGGTTGGTATAGAGTTTGTTTCAAGTTTTCCTTCTCTTTGCAGTGATGTTGTCCTGCGTAGTTTGCTCCCTTAG